CAGCTTAGTCTCGATTTCAGAGGTTACCACAGCGGAATGAACCAAAAACTATTGCAGCATATGTTTTACACAGTGAATGCCCTTCCAGTCGCAACCCAGTAATGGGAAACACCCATACACATTCACATTAACACACACTTATATTAGAGTGCATGTCTTTGCACTGTGGGGGAAACCAGAGCGCCTTGAGGAAACCAACATGAACTCAGGGCAAACTCCACACAGAAATACCAACTGGCTTAGCCAACATTCAAACCAGTGACCTTCTTGCTGTGAGGCGACCACTGCTTACCACTAAGCCACTGTGCAGCCAAAATGATAATAAAAATATTTTTAAAACTTCATTATTAATGATAAATATATATATATATATATAAACCTACTCAGCATTCTTGGACACTCAGATGGTCTTTCTAACACACTGCAAAGGGAGTGTGTTAGAGGGAGTGTGTTGCCTTAAAAGCAGCAAGCTGACTTTACTTAAAAAAGTAAATCTGTTTAACTTGGTAACTTTTAAGTCGATATAATTTCTATAATTATGCACATAGTTCATCTACTTAAAAAATAGGGCAATAGGTTTACTCACTCATTTAAGTAAAGTCAAATAATCTTTATTTATAGTGCATAACAATTATTTAAGCTTAAAATGATCTCTTTACTTTGCACAACTATCCTGATAAATGTCTGTTAATTTTGCAACTCTTTTATTTCCCTGTATTGCCATCTACCTAAATTTAAGATTTTTTAATGCCACCGTTTACAGTCTCACAGAACTTTTGTCGCAAAAAGTACTATTTTAAAGAACAGCTCCGAATTCATTGATTGATTTCTAATTACTTGATTCCCAATTACTAAAACCTACATGACAACATAAGGAAGAAAGCAGAGACACCTGTGATATCTTTATTGTCTTTGATTATGTCTATGTGTACAAAAAGCATGCAAAAAATAGCATCTTTATATGCTTTGGTACATATTTACATCAAAAGAGTTGCATTTAGTGCCTCCTCACGCCATGCTCTTTTTTGTCTATCTTCTTCGATTGGTTTTTAACAGTTACATTCAGATCAGTGCAGCAGAATACAGACGTCTATAAATAACCGGCGATATCAGGCACTCTGACACAAATAACTGGGCAGTAATGTTAGCAAGACAGTCATCTACGACTTCTATTCATGAATCTTCTCTGATATACCTTTAAATCAACATGTGTAAGGAAAAGGAACTTTAAAAAGCGGAGATGCTTTGAAAGCAAAAATGTTTTGTAGCTACAAAGTGCCTCAAAATGCCCACACTGTTAACCATTTTTGTAGTTTGCACAGTATTTAACTGTAATAATAACTGTATTTTACTGTAGGACAGTTATGCAGTGTTACTGTAGTTTAAAGTTGCATTGTGAAATTACAGTAGATTTTACAGTAATACTATACTGTGAATACATACAATGTACAGCAAGATAAAAGATGCTGTAAATGTGAATACAGTACTTCTGCTGTAATTGATTTACAGTAAGTTACTGTAGATTCTACTGGAAAGTGTTAACAGTGCACTTTTTCTCCCTTCTTCAGTCAAAAAAAACACAAAAAAAAAAACAACCTTTGGGTAATTAGACCTAATCTATTGCACATGAGCTGGGAAAGGAAATAAAGCCTTCGCACTTGATCATACAGAGGTATGGAGTATCGGCTGCTGCATATGTTCAGCTTTTACAAAAGTCCTGCAGGAGACAATTTAAAGGGGTTTCAGACATTATTTGTTTTGTTTTACACTGATTTTAAAAAACAGCAAACCCAGAGAGAGGTTAGAGCAAGTTAAGGGACATGCCGTACGTCAAAACACTAACAAGTGCATAGCATACATCAAGAACAAACCGACAAGACTGCTGTACATTTGAGACACAATGGACAAATGCGATTGCACATATGAAAGAAGGGGGTCATTTGAAACCATTCAACAGACTTATACACACAAACACACTTTAGAGCTCGTGAACACAGAATGTGCTACTCCACTCAATCTGTATTCCCAGAACAGCAGCGTCCAGACCCTGAGTACCACATACAGAATCACAAACAAGACTCCATTAATGCCTGATAACAAAAAAGAAGAAAAAACAGTATTGTTTGGCACTGAAAATGGGTTTCCTGTGAAATTCAGTTTAGAGAAAACTGTATGAACAAGAAGCAATCTTATAAAGAGTTTGTGCATAAAAGAGGGTCAGAGAGAGAGAGAGAGATGGGGAAGAGAGAAAGAACAATGGAAGAATGTGTAGGAGTCAGAAAACTGGACCACCATCTGCTCAGGATATTAGTGAGAATATAATGAAAGCGACTCACTGCCATTTATCAATCCATCTTCATATGAGTTTTAACGAGTCTGCTAAATGAGTGACATCGGTTAAAGGTTTCCTTAAGCAATCGCTGTTTATATAATCTATTTACTGAGGGATAATTGGCAACTGACCTGATTGAGTCCAGTTTTGTTCTTGTAAAATGAATTAAAGGGACAGTTCACACAATAGTTTGAGACGCTCTGTTCAACAGTAAATGATGGCTACAATGGTTCCCATACACTTTAATTAGACCTATATGAAAATTAGTGTCTTTGACACACTGCTAAATAGGGCTTCATTTTATTTGTTTAAGTTAATGGTGTATAAGTGTTTACATTTTTTTAATGCACCTAATGAACACACATTGGCTTAAATGGGTTTACTGTACATAGTGAAACGGTAACACTTTATAATAACTGCATACAATGAATTGTTTATTAAGTATAACCAGGTTGTTAAATCATTATCTGTTAAGCATTAACTCTACATTAATGTTAGTACGCAGTTTAAAAATACAGCTACAAATGCTCTGTTCTTGACTTAAAAGCACATTGATAATGTGCTTAATAATTGTATTTTTATTCTTTATTACTTATTAATTGTACTAAATTCAGTATTGCATTATTTACAAACCATTTGTATTCAATAGTGGCTTTTAGAATTGGTCAGAATGAGGTAGTAAACGAATAATAAACTATACAAACCAACATTTCGTCACCTAGAACTAAAAGGTTCTATCTGACATTTTTGTTAAAACTGAGTTATAGACATATTCTTATTAAATGACAACTTATTTACATTATGGGATGTTTTTTTTAACAAGTTGTTTACATTTTAAGACTTTTTATTAAAAAAACAAATGTTACACACATCCTGTTTGCTATGAAATGCAAAAACTTTAAAGCTCAATATCTCAAAATCTCTCAGAACGCATAGAGAACAAGGAGAGGATTTATCCATTTTATTATTCAGGCATTTACTAGTAGTTACTATGTATGTTAATAACCGCTTTATCAACTCAACTTTATGCAGTCAGTGACCTAATCTAAAGTGAGGACTATTTACTGTATGCTTTATAAATCCCTTATAAATAACAATAAAAGGCTCAGTATCAGATGAACAATAAATGTTTGTAATCTTATCTAAAAAACAAAATTAATGTAAAAAGTAAACACTGCAGAATAACAGGAATGTCAAAATACAATTAGAAATAAATACAATTAAATAAAATTGGATAAAACAACAATATAATAATTTAACAATATATTATGATACAACATTTCAAAGTTTTTTATCGAAGTTTAAACTGTACCATAATTTTATTTTACATAAGATAGCAAAGATTTATTTTTCATTTGATACAGTTTCATTTGTATATCGTCAAATGAATAGAAATTAAATAAGTCATTATATATATATTTTTCCTGTTTAGAATATAACTGAGCCTTTAATTGTAATTTATAAGGGATTTGTGAAGAATAAAGAGTCCTAGATTAGGTCGAAAAAACTTGAAGTTGAGTTAATAAAGCATTTATTAACATACAAATTTACAATTAGTATATGCCCGAATGATAAGAATGTTAATTTCAATAGTTAATTAATCATTTACTTATGCATTGTGATAGGACCAACTATTTTTAAATAGCTAGTTTCTAAATAATGCAATACTTTATTAAGTAATAAAAAACATTAACAAAGTATGAAAACACAATGATTAAGCACATTATAAAAGTCTTTAAAAGTCAAGAATATAGCATTTGTAGCTGTATTTATAAACCTCTTACTAACATCTTTCAGTGTAATTAATACTTAACAGATAACGAATTCACTATTTGCTAATGCTTAATAAATGATTGCTAGTGTGTAGTTATTATAAAGTGTTACCATAATTATTTAGGCATACAGTTTAAATGTATTATTTAATTTACTATTAAATGAATATTGACTATTAGTGGTTTAATGCTAAACTTAGTTTAAGTCCATCTTTTATCCTCGTTCTTTAGATAAATGGCTTTAGACTAAACTGTCTGCTAAATGAATGAATGTAAATGTAGTCCCTACACAGAGTTATTATGTCTTCATGCCTCATTTGTAATGTGAATGAACTGTCCTTTTAATACATGAATACTTTTATAAAAAATTTAATTTCATTTAAATTATCTGAATTGCGTCAACGTTCATTTACAACGGTGGACAATTTAAATTCCCCATATAACTTTAATCCGTTGATCAAAAAAAAAAAAAAAAAAAAAAAAACTGAGGATGATGAGTTCCCCTGGCAGACGATCTGATGTAAACAAAGGCGTATTGTTTTAGACAGCGTTAATGCAGGCCGAGCGGATGACACTGAATGGCAGTTCACTTTCGCTCCACAGCTAAACACCGCATTCAGATCCTTTCCTCAATTGGCGTGTCTGTTTTGAGTGAAAGTGACTCCCTCTCTTTCCGCAACAGCGCGCACTCGTTTCGCCTCGGTGGCATGTTTGCGTGTGCGTTCGCGGGCCTGTTTAGCACTGCTGACTGACAAATAGGCCTTTTGGAATGTGAAAACTCGGTAAACAATGACACATTCTGTTCCTGTAGAGAGACAAAGCGCTGCGACACGAGAGCCCTGCATCCGGTGCGGATCTGTAACATTCACAAACATGGAAAATAAGCCCTATTTCTAGATAAAAGCCCCGTTTTTTGGAAATCACTGAATGTGCAGACATCGAGAGCCTTTTTAGTGTCTAGTAGTTACATAAGCCCCTTTTGATCCACAGCACAGCACTGTGTGAGTGTTTATATACTGAATCTGAATGAAATGAGAAAATTGAGATATGAAAACACCACAATATGTGAAAGGCCATGCTATGATAGAGAGGGTTAAAGGGATAGTTCACACAAAAATTTAATTTCTGTCATCATTTATATATTGTTTAAGTGTTTTTAACCTTTATGAGTTTTTTTTTTTATCATTAAATGTAAAAGAAGAAGAAAGCTGGAAACCGGTAACCATTGACTTCCATAGAATTAGTTTTACTACCATGTAAGTCAATGGTTACAGGTTTTTAGTTTTCTTAAAAATAGCCTACTTTCTTTTGTTTTTAACAGAAGACACTCATAAAGAGCTTAAAACAGGTAAAAAGTGAGTAAATACTTAGTAAATGCTCATTTCTGGTGAACTATCCCTTTAAGAATTGCACATGAACACGTACAAAAAGGCAAAACACTTTATCTATAATTTTATACACATTTACAGATGTTATGATGGCAGCACACTGCACCACGCCATCACCGCATATCATGATATCAGTTATTATCAGCAGTTTTTATCCATGCTGTAGTCTTTTGCTTTAGTAAGTAGTCTATTTCAGACAACTCTGCTTCAATGTAGTTTTTTTCTGAAGTCTACTTGTTAACCAGGATGTGAGGACAAAGGTGGAACATCCAAGATATGTGAAGATAAAGTTTCACCAGAACCATGATGGAGGGACTTAAAAAGCGAGGAAAAGGATTCTTGTGCAAGGCTGACGAAAGTGAAAAGCCTCAAGGATGAAAGCGACAGCATTATCCAGTTCAATGTCAAGATAAGCCTCGAGCTGACAGAAACGCAGAGTAGTCGAGCGGTTTGGGTCATGATCATCATCTGCTGGAAGGGCTGGAGGTGTCTGAAAGCGCAGACAATGAGAAACGCTTCGGGTTCTTTGGAGACACTCAAGAGGAGGGTGGTTCATCCTCATGCAAGTCCTCTAGCTCGGCTTCTCTAGGAGCTTCTCCGCTGCTCCCCTTTCTGAGAGAGGAAGAAAAACAGAGAGACATATTATGAATCATTATCCTTAAATGATCCAGGCACTGATGCAATAGCCGACCCCGAACAGCCAGACTTTTGACTATCTATAGTTTATAAAGTCTGGTCCGCTTTGCAGATTACTTAACTCAGGCCAAGAATCGCCCACATAAGCACAGACGCTTTGGCAAAAAAAAAAGTATCCTGTCAATTAATTTGTTGGAAATTTCCCTGAAATGACGCTGACATAAAGACGTTTATGTTTGTCATTTTTTTATTGTCATAATTATTAATTATTTTCTCTCAGAAGTGAACATTGTTGCAGTGTTGCCAATTTTTTTTTTTAATGAAAAGGCGCTAAGCTCTGCCCGAAAAGTCGCTATATGTCACTAGAAGATTATGTCATACGTCTAGATACATATTACTGACGTCATCATGTTTTCCGTTTTTGTTTGTTTAACAGCTTATGGTCAATACAGGGGTATTTATATTTATACATGCACCACATTTTATGTATGCAAGTCAATTTAACTAAATATATTGCTGTTTAAATAAAGTATATCAGTATAGATGTGTAGTGAATTTGCAGTAGGCTAATCTCTCAGATGTAATAATCTTAGACACGTTCCCAAACTGTCACTAAATTATCTGTGATTGTGAACAAGAAAAGATTAAACAGTCAAATTACATTTTTTAATTCAAAACAAATGAGAAGCAGATCGATTTGACTTTACTAGGGAAATACATAAAATCATAAAAATTATAAATATAATAATAAATCATTTAATGGGAGAGGACAGTAAATTTGACGTTATTCACTCCTCTGGCTGTCGTTATCATTGTCTCACACAGTTTCTTTTTACCTTTTTCTAAAAGTCTTGATAACATCATTGTGGAGTTTTTCTTTTATTATTTGTGCAAATCAGTATGTATTTAATTACTAGTCTGAAAAGTCGCTAAATATAAAGTTGGCAACACTGCACTGTTGCAGCTTCGTACGATATGTAACACTGTTTAGAAATGTGTGGTCAGGAAGGTCTTTTATTTAAAAAAAAAACTTTTTAATGATTTTATTTAGCAAAGATGCATTAATTTGATCAAAACTTACAGTAACTTGTATATCACCCACCACAAAAAAGAAAATCATTTCTGTTTTCTATTCACCAATAAATAGAAAAATAAATAATGATTAATAAATAAATGATGAATTCCTCAAAAAATAATCAGCAGAAATGGTTTCCAACATTGATAATATGAAATGTTATACACTCCATATTACTACAATTTCTGAAGGATCATGTAACACTGACAACTGGTGTAAAAATTCAGCTTTGACAACACAGGAATAAATTACATTTCATTTAACTTTCAATATTACAATATTTCACTAGATTGTTGATCAAATAATTGTATCCTGGGTGAGAATAGAAGACTACTGTCCAAAATATGTAGGAATAAATAATACTTTACGAATACAAATTTGTCTATTAATTACAATTATTATTTAATTATTATTTATTTTGACAGAAACCAAAAAAAATAAAAAATTTTAAAAAATCAGTTTCAGACTGAAAAGGTAAAACAGCGGCTGCTAAGTTCATTTAACATTTTATTTCAGTGTGTGCAAAAGTACATTCCTGTAAATTAGTGATGTAACAGATCCCGAATCTCACGGTTCTGATCACATTATGTTTTTTGTCACGGATCGGCCCATTTTTCGGATCACCCAAAAAGGAGGAGAAGACAAATGTAATTTTCTTTCCCTTTAATACAAAAACAGTACTGCAGGAAACTTTTGTTTTTAACAAACAGAACTTAAAACCTGTAATTTATTTGAAAATAAAATGAATAAATAATCAGCTGGATAAAAAAAAACAGTAAAATATTCAGTGATGTGAAAAATTCACTGGTACTACTACTGTTGCTGATAATGCTAAATGTAGAAATCTAACATTCTAATTTGAACTATTCATATTTATTTTTAGTCTCATTTTCAATAAATGATTCAGTTATTCACCCATAAAACTTTATGTTTTACTGCTAGATGGATAATTTTTGAAGAATTATTCAGTGGTGTATTTTTGGTGACTGGCAGTCGCCACCTATTGGTTAAATAATGTAATTGCTGCAAACAACTTTCATTTTTGAGCATATGATGATGACTTAAATCTTTACCATAAACATCAGTGGTTTTATCTAAATTATATACTGTTCTCCATTACTTCTGTGTTATTTGATTGTTTGTAACTTCATAACTAACACAAAAGACTAAAAACTGATTCTCTTTCTTGATTTTTGCATTTTTCAAACACAGATTTGAATGCAGCAATTTGTAAGATTAATAACAAATACAAATTACCATCATTTATGTTGCGTGGGTGTCGAGATCCTGATCTTTTAATGATTAATCATGCAGCATACACTGAATGCATTAATGCAAGCTAAACAAGTAGTAACAGAAAACACCTTTAATAACCTAAGAAACCCACCACATGTCGAATAACCTACCACAACTTCTTCCGGCATCATTATATTTTACAGAAAAACCTAAACGCTTTCATACATGTGATTTGAATGACACAAGTGGCGATCTCTCTTTGACCGTTATAAATTTAGGCTTAAACTAGCAGTAAAAAAATATATTAATCTGCAGGTCACCTGTGTTCTGAACTGTGGGTTGTAATCCGTACGAATCCCCCTTACTGTAAGTGTGCATAACCATAATTTAAATATTAAATCATCTACCTTAATAACACATAACAAACAAACAAATAAAACAACGTGCAATTTAAAACAAACAGGTATAAAGTGTCTGAATGGAAGACTGTTGCTGCAACTATCCAGAAATACTAGACAAGAATAATAATGAGCTCACAAACAATCTTAGAGGAAACACAGATGGACATGGGAAGCTTGTCTGCAACAAACATGACAGCACATAGTGACTGTACACAGTGGGATTCAATGAAGACCACGACATGAGGTGTTTTACAGGACTGGACTCTCCTAACAGTATCATCAAACACTTCCACTGGCATGAAGCGAGAGAAATGCCACACGAGGACAGGATGAGGGCTGACGTGACAGGCTCTCACTGTCACTGACTCCAGGGGAATGCATGGAGGAGCTCAGGAAATCTGACACAGACTAGAATGACAAATGACAATGACCACCTGTCACAATGAGTTACCTTAATGAGGGCTGGAGTTTAAAAGAGGGCCGGAAGGGCCACGAGTCCCTGCAGCAGATAGATAGATAGATAAAGAAAGAGAGAGAGTCAGCAATTTCACATGAGGTACAGCCACACGAGCCAGGTCATTATCCTCCTGCTCACAATCCCAGAATTAAGTTAACCCATTTCATCCCAGACATCAAAATATGCAAATGACACTATTAGAATCACTTTGAAATAATCAAGATTTTTTTTATTGTCGGTCACAATTGTGGCTAGTGCACTGAATTAACATTTTACTGAAGTCATCAAAAATTGATTAAAGACCACGTAAACTGAAAATCGCTGCAGACTTATTTCAGTATGACAGGGTTTCTGCAGATATCAATGTAAAATTTAAGATTTTTAAAGACTTTTTAAAAAACATTAAGTACTAAATTTAAGACCTATATCACAATATCAAAAACACATACACATAAAGAGAAAATGCTAAATCACAAAATTAGTGGTAAAAATAAATGTAGTCAAATTGAACAGTACTAAAGACAGGTTAAATGCACCATTGAACTACATAAAAAAAAAAAAAAAAAAAAACATCTTAAGGCTGATTTATACTTTCGCATGGCGCCGCATCATGCACCTCATGAAACGGATGAGGCTTTCATACTGGACGCGTTTGCCATTGAGATATTCTTTTAAATGACAGGGGGTGGTCAAAAGAAACAGACAGTAAAATCAGACAGACAAATAGAGAAGTAGACAGTTTCTGGAACTACGTCAAATCAAGATTTTTTAATTATTTGTTTTTTATTTTTATAATGTATTATAATGATTATAAAGGTTTTTTTTTTTTTTTAATAAAACTTTGATGATTTTTATTCTGCCCACTCAACAGTTCACACATTACTGTCTGGCTAGTTTGTGTCCTCTTAAAAGCTAAAAAGGCAATAAAGGTCTAACATTCCTGACCATTATCACCAATAAAGCCTAGAAATTAGGCATCAGTATATTGTAAACTCATAGGTTCATATATTCTTTTCCAGTTATCAAAGATATAATTTGTTACTTAATTTTAGTTTGTAACTTGTAAATTGTTTTAAATTCAAAATTGTAATATATATGTACATCACTGTAAAACCTATGAATAGCGGAAAAACACTCTGTAATGTTAAAACCACATGGGTCGCCACTTTTGCATGGCCTTTTTTTTTTTTTTGTTGCAACAAACTTATGCCTCAAGTTTTTCCCAAACATTTACAAAAACTTTCCTCCTTTCCCACGGCTGTTGCAATTTTTAGCCAAGAATTATTAGCCATCTGGTTCACTGTTGACTCGAGTCTCAAAATCTTTTGTGCGGTCCACCAGCTGAAATCATGTCGCGTGCACCCAAACTGAACCGCCGCAAACACAGCGATGACATCACAATTGCCATGCGCACTGAGTTCAATAACAGAAAGCTGATAGGCTATTGCATGTTGGTCTCATTTGTAGTTTTAATAGCGCAAACTACAATTAGTCTAGTGACATAAAGTACTACAACACCACGAAAACCAAGCAACAACAACAACAACAAAATTATTCAAATGAGCATTAGATGTAGCTTTACATGGACATTGGAAAAATAAGACCTGTGCAAAAATATTTAAGACCTAGAACAGCAATTTTATAACATTTTAAGGACAAAAAGTTAAGATTTTTAAATTTTAGAGTTTTTAAGACTTTAAGACCCCGCGGAAACCCTGGTATAATGACATATTTCTGACTGAAACCTCAAGCAAGGATTTATTTTGTTTACCTTCCTGCTAAGTTTAGCTTCAACTTGCCTCGACACACCTGCCCGAAAGTTTCTAGTATGTCTAGTAAGAGCTTGATTAGCTGGTTCAGGTGTGTTTGATTAGAGTTGGAGCTAAATTCTCTAGGACACTGGCCCTCCAGCACCAAGTTTGGACACCCCTGCCCTACCCATTAGTGACAATCTCTCCCTTATTAGCATAGAATGTTAGTAGTTTTTAAATCTGCCACTTTGCTGACACATAGGCATTTGTAGCTTTCCCCCTCTTTAAAAAAGGGCAGGAAGCACAATCTCATTTTAATTTAAAGTGAAAGTCACCAATATGGCACAATTAAGATCAAAGCATAAAAGGGGCAGTTTCAGAGTTATAAACCATTCTTTTAAAACACATACACTTTCTAGGGACACTTATTTAACATCTTGTAAAATGGAACATAATAGGTATGCATTTGTATATAGTGCGTTAAATTCATTATGTGTGTCATAGACACAATTACAGAATTCATTCTATGACAACACCCAACAAACCATTAATTTATATACAGTATTAACACTAGACACCTTAAACACACAGTATGCAATTTTTGCCTTTAGATGCACATATTCACAACAAACAAAAGCTTATTTTGTCGATGCTTTGACTGATTGTGGAATTGTAAGAGTTGTTGACTTTATAACATCCTAAATGACTCCAGCAAAAATCATGTTTTTGGTAAAACTATGCAAAACTTGAGGAAGATGTGGTGAAGAAGCACTGTTTTATCATACTATATACATTTTAGGGTTCCTTTATACAATGCTTCCCAATGTAATGCAATACAATATATGACATATTAAAGCATTTTTGTTGTTTACATATTATGTATAAATAAAACAAGAAATTGGGGTTATGTGATATCATTAGCATGGTGACACACAATGCTAATTATGTCACAATGCTAATGATGTCACTTAACCCCAATTAGCATTGCGACACACAGAACACAGTACATGTCACTAATTAAAATAGCTTATTTCTCTGGATTTGTTTAAATGTTTGGGATAATGCAAGTACACATTATCAAGATAATGCAAGTCTGCAAAATCCACAGTGTTCTAATAGTTTTGGGGTTGTGTTAATACAAAAATTGTACAAACTGCATTGTGCCTTTAAGTATAATGTCTTTATCATATCTTTGTGAGTATAATTTATTAACCTTAATAAACGATTTGATTTGAAACAGATTGAAACCTTTTTCCATATTCACAAGACTGTAACTAAAACACCAGTTAGTGACATTTTTAGCGCTTTTTAAATAATAACAAACATGGTGGGATTAAATAGATCAATAGACTGAATTTAAGTAAGGATCACCAATAAAAGTCTGCTTAATATGAAATGATACTCATCAAATAATCCTTTAGATGGTACATTTGCCTTAACTTCCAGCCTAGAGCTGTCAGAGACAGACCACATTAGCATCAACTACTGAAGAGAGACGCATGTGCCAGGATGCTTATTAAAACTCATCAAATGCCAAGCATATTTGTCCAGAAAAACTGCGTTTATCCTCAGTATTTGACAAACACACTCAAGAAATGTTATCAACTAACAGTCTTTGCAGCATGAGCACATGAATACTGTAGGTTTCCCCACACTCAACCTAGGCTTTATAGATAAAAACAGTATTTTTTGAGGTGCTAGAGGCCAAAAGAAAGTGCTGAAATGTAATAATGTGCAGTCACATTTTCATCACAGCCAACAAATGTGTAGCGAAATGGCAATTTCTGCCATGCTCTCAGGCAGAACTGGTTCAGTGATGTGTGCAGCATTATACCACGTCTAACCAGGCCTCAAGTCACAACACCTACACAAAGAAAAATGTGGCAACACATTTACAACAAATCAGAACCAGGGTCAGACATGGGTTTTCCAGTAAGCGGCAATCTTTGCTGTCTGGGCTTGATTTCTATAGTGGCATTTTATCTTAAAAAAAAAAACACTTTTACATTGACCTCATTAACTGTGTCAGTGTTGTCGTGTATGTCAAATTCATAAATGAATTAAACCACAATAATGACAGTGATAACAAATACAACTGTATGCACATTATACAATTTAAAAAGGTCAATACAGGGTAGATTTGCAATACTGTGTAAATAATTAGGTTTGTGATACTAACATCATGGACCAACATTATTTGCATATTTAGCCACACTGTAAAAAATTCCTGTAAATTTACGATGAAAATAAACAGCAAAATACTGTTTTAATGTAAAAACAGCAAGTTGCCATTTTTTACAATGCATCATGGGAAGACTTGCTCACTTCAGTTTGAGTGGTTGAGCAACAACAGTAAGGGCACTGTAATTTAACGGTTTTATACCATATTTTTTTCTGTGTACACAAGACGCCATTTTGGATTATCTACATCTACGGATTATCTACATGAGGTAAGTTTGCAGCTCCAAATGTGACTAACTATCTGTAAAGTACCTGTTATTTTTTTAAATCACATGTAAACATCCAATAAACACACAACTGCAACAATGATTTGACTGTGTGAATTTGAAAAGCAAGATTAGCATAAGGACTCGGTAACGTTAGTCCTCACATCTCCTGGAGCCTGGATGGATATTTTACCTGAACTTTTAGGAACAGTGCAAATTTTGAACGTTATAATTTGTGGTTACATGAACTGGAACATTGCCCTGCATTTTATGACAGATTTGAACTGCGTGCCTCTGTTTGAAACTCCAAGGTACTTACAAAAAAGGATAATTGGATAATTTGGATATTTTCGACGAGGTAAGAAGCTATATCTGTAAACGTACTATCTTTAAATTACTTATTAAATTTAAATATCATGCCATAAACATCCAATCAACACATAACCAAAGCACCTGTTTATTTAATTGCAGGATCCGACCGTGTGAATGTCTTGAGAAGAGAAAGGGGGTAACTTTAGCCTAATTTAGCAAGCTAACGATAGCTGGAGGACTCATTTTCACATCACACACAGGTAAGAATGTTAAACCTAGATTTTACATGAACTTTGAGTGAAGATTGTACAGAATCTTTTTTTTTTCCATGTGGTTACATGTGTAACTTGCATATTTGGTCCATTTTATTACAGATACACCTTTTCATTTGCAACTCCGGTGCTTCTAAAAATAACATTTTAAGATTGAGTGAGACCTTTGTTATTTTTACGTTATTGCAGTTGGTTTATATAGAAATTGACTAGAGTTACGATCAGATTTTATGCTTGGTAATGTTACCTAAAGTGGCAGAGCTTTTAATCTTTTTGATGATGTGAGTAAGGAGTAACTGCTATTATAATGAAAATTCTTTACAATTCATTTTTGACCAATAGATGTCTGCCACCACTGCTAATCTTGAAAAGATGGGTAACCTGCCTGTGACTCCTCATTTGATTCTGCCTGGTAAGTATTTTGTGATTAAGATAGGGAAAAAATCTAATTTGTGTCCCACTATAGACTTTGCTGGTTTGTATTTGATGAAATAGATTCATTCATTTTTAATTCATTAAAGCAAAGTCTCATTTAGTTAGAAATGTATGTATTTGTTTTGATCTGATACCCAAAGAAATAAACTTGCCTTTTAGAAGCCTAGTTATCCTTTAGTGTTACTATTGACATACTATTGTCAATGTTTTAACACATGCTTAAGACATTCTGTCACCTTTCATTATCTTTGAATCTCAGATTACCTGGTTTGATTTCATGTAGTTGCTTATTATAATTATTTAAATATTTATTTTAACTTTGAAAAATTATATTGTATGGCTTTATCACGTCTTGCATAATTTTATCATGGCCCTTTCTACACCAAGCCTTTCAAAACAAATGATAAATCACAGAATTAATCTCCAGAATAATTTCTAAATAATACTTTAATCAAACAATTTATTAAAGGTTCAGATGATACTTTGGGCCAGTGGATAAAACAATGGGTGATCAGCATGGAAGGCAGAGTAATCTGTGAGGGTGAGCATGCACACTGGAATTCCTTCAAAGGTAATATGTTTGCACATACATATTTTTTGTTTAATTTAGCATGAGGACTTCATGGAATAGAATATTGTTCTGTCGAACTTGTCACATGTGTGTTTGTGTGTATACACTACAAGTGAAAAGTTTGGAATCAGAAATATATATATATATATATATATATATATATATATATATATATATATATATATATATATACACACACACACACACACACGTTTTATATATATATATATATATATATATATATATATATATATATATATGTCGTATAATAAGCTTCTTGTGCTCACAAAGGCTAAACAATACTGTAATAGAAACAAGGACAAATACAGCAAAAACTGTGATATAGGGAAATATCAGTTAAATAGTATATATTTATCATAAACTAATTAAATCATGTACTGGTATTTTATTGTATTTAGTTTAAAATGTGATTCTTGTGTTTTAAAGTTAAATTTTGATCATCATTAAAAATACTAGTCCTCAGTGTCACATAATTCTCATGGTGCTTAATATAACCATCTGCTAAGAATAAACATTTATTGTTGTTGTCATAACTTTGTGAAACAATACAATACACATTATTCATTCATTTTCTTTTCGGCTTAGTCCCTTTATTATTCCAGGGTTGCCACAGCTTAATGAACCGCCAACTTATCCAGCACATGTTTTATGCAGTGGATGCCCTTCCAGCTGCAACCCATCTCTGGGAAACATCCATACACACCTATTCACACACATACACTACGAACAATATAGCCTACCCAATTCACCTGTACCACATCTTTAGACTTGTGGGGGAAACCAGAGCACCAGGAAGAAACCCACGCGAACACGGGGAGAACATGCAAACTCCGCACAGAAACGTCAACTGACCTAGCCAAGTCTCGAACCAGTGACCTTCTTGCTGTGAGGTGACAGCACTACCTACTGCGCCACCACGTCAGTACACATTATACAATACTATTTCAAAGTACCATTGAAAATTAATTACTTTTACTCATCAAACTAAATTGTTCAAGCATGAAAGTAAATTAGACAATGCGGTGGCTAGGTAGGTAGTGCTGTCACCTCACAGCAAGAAGGTTGCTGGTTCAAGCCTCGACTGGGTCAGCATTTCCGTGTGGAGTTTGCATGTTCTCCTTGTGTTCGCGTGGGCTTCCTCCGGGTGCTCCGGTTTTCCCACAGTCCAAAGACATGCGATACAGGTGAATTGGGTAAGCTAAAATTGTCGTGTATGAGTGTGAATGAGAGTGTATGGGTGTTTCCCAGTGATGGGTTGCAGCTGGAAGGGCATCCGCTGCGTAAGACATATGATGGATAAGTTGGCGGTTCATTCCGACCCCAGATTAATAAAGGGAAAAAGCCAAAAATAAAATGAATGAAGGAATGAATAAAAATAAATAAATTTTTTATAATGCAAAAAAGATTTTTAAAAAATTTACTTATTTTTTTTTATCAAACAATCGTAAAAGAATGTATCAGTTTCCAAAATACTTTGAAGCTTTTTTTTAGCACTGATCATTATAAGAATCAATATTAGGGGTTTTGTACCAATAATATAATGATTTCTTAAGGATCATGAGACACTAAATTAAATGTGAAACTACGTTCAATAAGAAAAAAAATAAAAATTGAAAAATTTGAATTATTTAAATTGTGTAGTAACTAGGGATGTAACAATATTGTAAATACCGTCATACCGCAATAGTAATTTTTTTCAATATTACCGTAGGCGCATGACTCAATAAAACTATTTTTCTGAGAAAAGTTTGCTTAGGCAAATGAAGTGAACGGGAGGTAGCGGGAACTACAATTCCCATCAGCCTAGGCGTGGCCATCATCCTTTGCAGTCTGTTGTCGCTACAGATCCAGTAATGCGGAAATGGAGTGTGGTGCTAGTAGCGGGGAAGAAAAAGAGCTGGAAATGATCGAACCTAAAGTGGGTTTCAAATCGGATGTGTGAAAGCATTTCGGTTTCTCTCTAAAAAGATACAAGAAAGGAGAAAAGGTGACAGACAAAGACAAAAACAATATGCAGGCACTGCCAGACTGTTGTGAAATATAAGTCGGGGAATACGACTAACAACAGTCATGGGGACTGCAGAACACAGCACACTTGTTAGATTGATGCAGACATTGACTTGTACCGTAAAGAGACCTCTATCTCACTCATGGCTTGTCCTCTCAAGTTGTGGAAAGACAATGCACAACGTTACCCACTGCTGTCAACCTTGGCTTAATCATATCTCTCTGTCCCAGAAACCTCAGTCCCAAATGAGAGGGTTTTTTTTCTGTTGCAGGGAACATGCCTAGAGATCCCAGCTTTTACCAGATTATAGTTATATGATCATTTCTTTAAAAAACCCATCTCTATCTAAGTGAGTGAGTGATTAAATGTTGAATGTGATGAGTTTTCAACAATACTAAATTGAAACTTTTTATATATATATATATATATATATATATATATATATATATATATATATATATAGTTTAATAGTTTTTTGTTATTAAAATTTAAAAATTGAATTTCTTCTTTCGAAACTTACAGATAGATGGCTAATTTGTATGTCATTGATATGTTCAGTGCTAAGGTAAATAAACACTTTTGGCACTTTTTTCGAGTCTTTTCATTAGTTTTATTTTTCTTGTAAATTATTCAATAAGTATACCATTCATACCGAGGTATTATCGTACAGTGAAATTCTGATACTGTTACATCCCTAGTAGTAACACTTTAAAATTCAGCATTTTTACTTTATTTTTGATCAAATAAATGCAGCCTTTGTGAGCAGAATAGCCTTTTTAAACATGACCTCTAAAAACTCTGTCCTTCAGATTAATATTTTGAATAGAATGCTTTACAATTATATATTTGTGCATAAACATTAGATTAGTCAAAGCCAAAATTGGAGCTAATAAACTTAGTACACGGCAGTGAATATTTTGAATATTTTGATGAAAAAAAATAAATACAACTTTAATAATAAACAGGAAAAAAATATTACTCTGTTTAATAAAACTGTTTTGTTTAAATGCACCAATATATATTTGTCTATATTCACTGAGGAATTGATAGAAATATAAATTTTTTAAAGGGGCTGTTCATTTATGCTGAACACTATATGTGGTGTGTGTGTGTGTGTGTGCGTGCGTGCGTGCGTGCGTGCGTGCGTGCGTGGGTGGTCAAAATTATTAGCCTCCTTGATTTTTTTTTTCTTTTTTCAATATTTACATATTTATGTTTAACAGAGCAAAGAATATTTCACAGAATTTCTGATAATATTATTTCTTGTGGAGAATTTTTTTTTCAGATTTTTAGCTAGAATAAAAGTAGGTTTTATTTTTTTTTAAAACATATTAAGGTCAATATTATTAGTTCCCTAAAGCAATACATATTTTTGATTGTTTACAGAACAAACCATCGTTATACAATGACTTTAATTAACCTAATTAACCTAGTTAGGCGTTTATATGTCACCTTAAGCTAAACACTAGTATTTTAAGAAAATATAGGCAATTATTATCTACTGTCATCATGGAAAAGATAAAAGAAATCAGTTATTAGTTTTTACAAATTAGTTATTAAAACTAGTATGTTCAGAAATGTTGAACAAATCTTCTCTTTGTTAAACAGAAATTGGGGGAAAAAAAAAAATTATATTATATACAGTTGAAGTCTGAATTATTTGCCCCCTGTTTATTTTTTTCCCCAATTTCTGTTTAACGGAGAGAATTTCTTCTACACATTTCTAAACAAAATAGTTTTAATAACTCATCTCTAATAACTGATTTATTTTCTCTGTCATAATGACAGTAAATGATATTTGACGAGATATACTTCAAGACACTTCTATACAGCTTAAAGTGACATTTAAAGGCTTAACTAGGTTAATTAGGTTAACTAGGCTGATTAGGGTAATCAGGCAAGTCATTATATAGCAATGGTTTGTTCTATAGACTATCTAAACATTATATAGCTTAAAGGGGCTAGTAATTTTAACCTTAAAATCAATATTTAAAAAAATTAAAATTATTTTTATTCTAGTCAAAATAAAACAAGACTTTTTTCCTGAAAAAAAAATATTATCAGATACTGTGAGCATTTCCTTGCTCTGTTAAACATCATTAGAAAAATAATGAAAATAAATAATTAAAAAAAAGGGCTGATAATTCTGACTTCAACTGTACATATAGCAAATAGGGACTTTAACTATGTACACACACGTCACTGGTGTTGTTCAAAAATCAAACATTTTAACATTTGAATGCCCTTTTCATGTCTTTAATCTTCATCATATAATAATAACCTTTTTTCAGGGAAAACCATTTTAGTGCTGCAAAAATGCATGTGCTTTTTCACTAAAATTTTCTTTCAGAACAGAAAATCACTTTTGCAGATAGTTTATTTATTTTTGTAATTCATACAGTTTTAAATACCTTGTTCACAGAAAATCTTTTATTCTTATTATTCAGATGCTTTGCTGGCATAAATCCAGAGAGGGGAACCAAGGCTGTGAGAGGAAATGTGACGTCAAAAAAAACTGGCAAGACAGTTCAGAAGAAGACCATGACTGTAAACCCCAAGGTTTCAAACCTTTTAAAGAAACTAATGGACTTTGAATGGGACTTTATTTAAAATGCAGCTAGCTTGAACCCCCTACTTTTGCAACACAGAGGCCTTTTTTTCTTTATTTGCTGAAGCTCATTTTGGGGCTATATATTTTTATATTTTATATCCAAGACTAAATTGTAAAGTGGCTATTTATTAATTTTTTCTATGACATTCGGTAAGTTGCTTCTTGTTGTACAATGCTGAATACGATCTTAACATTTCTGGAGAACTTACAATTTTTGCCTGTTCTTTGGCTTAATATTTTCACAAACACAATGCAGATTTTATTTTGTGTTGTTTGAAAATAAAAAATGTGAAATATAACTTGGATTTATTTCTCTTTTTGAATCATTTTAATCTGAAATAATATGGTTAAATATGGATTGTAATTTAACAGCTTTATGCTTCTAAATAACAGATGCATGCTGTAGATAAAATGTAAAAAAGGTAGGGCACTGTATTTTTACATTAGAATAACAGTGGTATGCTGTATCTTACAAAACAGTATCATGCTGTTAATTTAAAATGGTAGGGCACTGTATTTTTACAGTTCCATAACAGTAGATTACTGTGGCTAAAAAAACAGTATCATGCTGTTAATTTAAAACGGTAGGACACTGTATTTTTACAGTTCCACAACAGTAGAATACTGTTGCTAACAAAAACAGTATCATGCTGGTAATTTAAAAAACGGTAGGGCACCATATTTTTACAGTATGATAATGGCAACCACAGCTGCCAGTAGATTACCGTTTTTTTACAAGGAAATTTTTTACAGTGCAGATCATGTTGGTCCGTGATGTTAGCATCACAAACTTAATTGTTCGATAAATTATTTTAATCAATTTCCATATATTCAACTTATATTCTTTTGATATACAGTATGTTTACTTTTAAAGGAAACTAAAGTTAATGTTATTAATGCATGTGCTTCTTGATATAATCACATGCTCAATTATAATTTTCGATCAATTGAATGGTTGTAATCAATAGGATTCTACCAAACAAACTGTTTATACCAATAATTAAACACAATGCTTTATCATCTGTTTGTATGCCTGTTTATATACTATCCACAAAAATACTATCCGCATTGCTCCCTTGCTGTCAGAACATTAAATCATTGAACATGAATCTTCTTGGGTCTTGGAATAATTTTTGATCCGGACACTAATCTAACAGCCTCTGATTGGCTACTGTGTTCATAAGCTTAGCATAAACATGAGTTACAATACTCAGCAATACAATACAATGCAAAAAAAAAAAAAAAAAAAATTATTATAATTTTGAAGCAATGCTTGCAGACCTCAATGTAATGTTGCAAACGGGCATTAAACATAATTTTTCTTATTTGACTGCAATCGTTAAAGCTGTAATAGCTAAATTTAATTATCCAGGGTATTTTTTTATGCCCCTTATATTTTAATTTGTAGATTTTTTAAAATAATTTTGGTGGCAATTTTTCCTATAAGACCCCATTCATTTCTGAGAACATATTTCAGGATTAATATACATTTACCGGCCTTTTTATTAGGTACATCTTACTACTGTAGTACCCCTTTTTGCCTTCAGAACTGCCTTAATCTTTCATGGCATAGATTCAACAAGTTACTAAAAATATTCCTCAGAGATTTTGGTCCATATTGACATGATAGCATCACACAGTTGCTGCAGATTTGTAGGTTGCACATCCATGATGCGAATCTCCTGTTCCATCACACCCCAACGATGCTCTATTGGATTGAATTCTGGTGACTGTGGAGGCCATGTGAGTACAGTGAACTAATTGAAATGTTCAAGAAACCAGTCTGAGCTGATTCACACTTTATGACATGGTGTGTTATTCTGCTGGAAGTGTAGTCATAAAGGGATGGACATGGTCAGCAACAATACCCTGAACTGCCCACAGAACTGTCGCTCACTGAATTTTTTTTTTTTTTTGGACCATTCTCTGTAAACCCTAAAGATGATTGTGCGTGAAAATCCCAGTAGATCAGCAGTTTCTGAAATTCTCAGACCAGCTCGTCTGGCACCCATGTTCAAAATAAATTAAATCATCTTTCTTATCCATTCTCATGCTCATTTTAAACTGCAGCAGATCATTTTGACCATGTCTACATACCTAAGTGCATTGAGTTGCTGCCATGTGATTGGCCTATTAGACATTTGCGTTAATGAGCAGTTGAATAGGTGTATCTAATAAAGTGGCCGGTGAGTGTAGATGTGAATTGGCAAGTCAAGAGTTCTTGCTGTAAAACATTTTCATTCTGACAAATGAATGTCTAAGAGATGCAGAATAATAACGCAATGTAATAAATGCAACCTTTGTGAATTTCACAAGGAATGAAATTGCTATCCCAGTGAAAAAACTGCAGTCGACTAAATAAAATAATAGTGAACACCTCAGAGATGGGTGGACATTGTGTGTTTAGTACGTACAGTAAGTGTGTGTTTAGATGAAAAAGGTTATAAACGATGCAGGAGGTGGTGTATTCCACCTGCCAGTGAATTATGGATGACATGCAAATGAGCACCGCTGACAGATTTAAAGTGATGGAAGGATTTTCAAAATGATGGTGGTGCCTTTCCACCGGCTGGGGGCGCTGCTGCGTTTTTTCTATTCATCAGAAACACCACTTGCACAGTAGCAGCTGACAAATGGCTCATAAAAAAATTATAGAGGTAAATGAAAATAAAATCAGCTGCCTTTTTGGAAAAGCAGTCACCGGTGTCTGCTGAGTCAACGTATTGATCCGTCTCATTCAGATTGCCCCTTTGTCAACAGAGAGAGGCCGTACCAAGCAAGCATGTCAATTTGTTTGCAGATAATCAAATGACCTTTCAGTTTTGATTGCATGAGCAATAATTGCATTCAGCACATCTGAAAACACAATGCAACCTATCCCAGACAGCATTCAGCGCTGCGGTAAAATATGTGCAAGGCTGAATCTGGTCTATAACAGATGCATACAGAGATAAGCAGACTGTTTGTATTGATTGGGTTTAAGAAGAGCGGGATGATTCTGACAGGCATCTAACGGACAGCAAGAGTGAGAGAACATCCTGCTGTCCTTGAAAAGAAAAAAAATTCTCTAATGTGGGAAAAGCAGAAGAGTGGGGACAGAAATGACTTCATGGAGACACTTACTGTCAGTCTAGTGGGCAGATACATTAACAGCAAAAAGCTTCTGAGAATAACTGTCACTGGAGGGACGGGACAAACAACATCCACAGAAATTCAAAGAAACTCTGTCATTGCAATGACCTCTCTGAATGTGCATAATATATTATATTATATTATTTATATTTAATTTATTTTTGTTTTAAATTTAACTTAAAACATATGCTGGATAAGTTGGCGGTTCATTCCCCTGTGGCGACCCCAGATTAATATAGAGACTAAGCCAAAAAGAAAATGAATGAATGAATGAATGAATGAATGAATGAATGAATTAATGAATGTGAATGAGAAACGGCACTTGGCAACTAAATATTTTAATGAAAATTGTTTTATTTAGTTAACTACAAAATTTCCAATTTGTGTGCATGTTTACTTGTTTACGTGGCTAACGAGAACCCAGAACATGGGTATGACCTATGATGCTATTTTTAAAGGTGGTTTATGAGGATGAGTCTTTTATCCTTTAAAGTTATAATATGTAGTAGCGTCTCTTGACATTCAAATGTTTTACAGTATAAAATGCATTAAGCCTAGTCCTTGTAAACCACATATACATGTATGTGGTGTGTGTGTATATATACCCCAAGGGGTATGAATAATTTGGGGCTTGCTGCCATTAGCCTGTCTGAGCAGACCAAAGAAAGTGATGGTTGACGTTCCACCACAAGATGGCGACAAAGACTGCATAATAAATCCTTAGAGGAAGAAAAATTGCATACTTCCATACTAAAGAGTAGGGTAAATCAGTATGCGAGCCGAGTAGTATGTCAGAATTTATAGAATTGGAAAAACAATATGTACCTGGAGGACCTACTGCCTCCGGTGATTCTAAATTGCGCATCGGTTGGATGCTACCCTATCCCATGATGCACCACGAGAGAATTCATAAATGGGAGTGAAGCAATGCAACTGACATGGGTAGGTCATGTGATCATGACAAAATGGGGAATGTAGTATGTCCGAGTTCCATTCACACTACTCACATTCTTACTGTATAGAACATATTTTTCAATTGGCCAAGTAGTACATTTAAATTCAAATGCAGTACCTACTGAGTAGTAAGCAATTTTGGACGCAGACATTATTTTCTCAATGTAAGATTCAAACTACAGCTGAACAAATCATTATAAATCAGGCAAATGATATTCTAAGTCAATCTCTCTCTTTTGTATTTTGTAGTGCTGTATTTATACCACAGAAACTGCTAGTGTTTCTTTTGCTTTTGTTTATCTGGGTTTAATTATTGTGATATGCTGTTTGCAACAGAGAAATACTGGGAAATCTCTGTAGACTGATGGCATTTCATGTCGTTCAGTCTTATATCTTAAAATGTCAGCAAAAATTACCTGTTTTGACATCACTGTAGACATTATGCTAGAGATTGTTGTTAACATGCAATATCACACTCGTAGCAGTACAATATGGCTGTATATTGGCACTGGTAGGGGCACTAAAGTACTTAGCCTGCAGACTCAAGCCAATGCACGCCTCCCACCAGTGCTGAAATACAGCCATACCGCACTGCTCCTCATGTAATATTGCTCATATATATTCACTCATTTATTTTATTTTCTCACACACACACACACACACACACACACACACACACACACACACACACACACACACACACACACACACACACACACACACACACAAACACACACACACACACACACACACACACACACACACACACACACACACACACACACACACACACACACACACACATCCATACAGTATATACAGTCAATAATATACACACAAGCAAACATTATTTTCCTGAAGTACAATCTCATCTGCAAAATATCAGATAAATAAAAAACTAAAAGATTAAATGTGAAGTCTAAATGATGGATAAGTGAGTCAGCCATCTCCTCAGTGCTGTGCGGAGGAGAAAGTTTTAGACAGGAATTGTAAAAACATTATGTCCTGGAGCTTTCAATGCTACTGCATGAGACCAAAAAAAAAATCTACTGAATCATGCTACTATGGAAACGTATGTTGGCAGCAGGAGAAGTAATGGGTGACTATTAGCACACCTTCCTGTTCAAACAGACAGACATGACGTTGAAAATATCATGCTGCAATCTTGAATGTGCGAGTTCAGAAAGCAAAGAATGAAAGAGATGCAATGCTGAAATCATTTCAGCCTCTTTTATATATATATATATATATATATATATATATATATATATATATATATATATATATATATATATAACTTGTTAGGAAAAGTAGAGTCATTTGGATTTGTGCGGCTACATAACTAGTTTCCAGTTTATTATGGCTTTGGTTCTAGTTTGTGGTTTGGAGCACTTACATGAGCAAACTGCCGGGTGCAGACATGGATCTCTCTTCTCTCCTACTGGGACACTCAAATGGATTCCCAAAGGAACGCTTCCTTAACATGGCTTTCACTAGTATCTGAAATATTTAAAACAAGTTTTCACTTACTGTATATATATTAAATAATTACAAATCAGGGTGTATGATAATACAACAAGTCCAAACACAACCAAGAGAATCGGATGAACATTAGACAGAAAATGATATATTCTTTGCATTTACCGAAATGTGAGAAGGACCAAATCCAAGAAAAGTAATCAAGAGAAAGCTGACAGCAGGGTCAGTTTGACATGTGTTAGGGTTTTCAGTAATTCGTTTGAGGTTGGGTGTGTCTTTACCTTCTTATTCATTTAATCCTTGACATGTTGAATGCATTAAAAACACCGGGGCAGGTTAATGGCCTAAGAGTGTTCATGTTTTTGTAACTACCTCAGCAACATTTATTATGCACAGAAGCTTTTCTAGTTCACTTACCACAGCAGACAGACTGGGGACAAACTTGACAGAGTTCTGCACCTCCTCTTCAGTGACCTCCACCACAGTACAGTGCTCTTCTTCTAAAGGTAAAGGGTCTTTGCCATCCTGAGTCACCCACGGGTCAACCTGAACACACACACAGAAACAGACAGTCTGAGCACATGCCAACCTTCAGTCCATCCAATCTACTATTCTTTCTTCCACCAATCTTGTCCAACCCTCATCTATCTTTCCATTCATCTAACCTATCTTTCCATCCATCCATCCATCCATCCATCCATCCATCCATCCATCCATCCATCCATCCATCCATCCATCTATCTATCTATCTATCTATCTATCTATCTATCTATCTATCTATCTATCTATCTATCTATCTATCTATCTATCTATCTATCTATCTATCTATCTATCTATCTATCTATCTATCTATCTATCTATCTACTGCATCCATCCATCCATCCATCCATCCATCCATTCATTCATCCAAACATCTATCTTTTATTCCAATCCACTTCAGCTCTCAAATTCATCAATCCTTTCATATATCCAGTCACTTTTTATAACCTTATATCAGTCCATTCATCTTTTTCTCAATACATCCATTCATGCATCTCTTCATCAAACCAGCAGGCCACTAAAGGAATAACTGATTTGTCCTATAAACAAAGTTATTCTGAAAGATATGAGGGTTGAGTTGCTGAGTGAATGTAGGCCGCACAGCTCTGATTAACGTGTGCTCTGGGGATCGTTGCTTTAATGGAACATTTTCTGGGTAATGACATGCAGGCAAGAGTCTCTGATGGCCGAGTGTGTGTGTGTGCTAATTATTCACACTCACTGCCACTCTATTACAGCAGATGGACGTTTCCAGAACCAAACCAAAATCCCTCTCCATTGGGATAAGCTGATGTGTTTCTATCCAAATTTCAAGTCAGCTTGATAAAGCAGAAGCTATCAAAGGTACTGTGTCATATTTCAACAACATGCCTGAATGTGTCTCCATGATAAAAACACGGCTGGTATTGTGAGAGAAAACTAATGAGACTTACTCTCTGGAATGTTCTTGGTATATTTCTTTTAAAGATGCTGACTATAATTTCAATATTTAAAGAGGATATACTGTCTTGCCAGTATAGAAGAAAACAGAGAATTTCTGAAGGAAAATGCACAAATTAATAATGCTAAGTCTGCCGAAAAGGCCAAATGCAAACATATTTTTGTGTGTAAGAAGATATACTCTAGTCTTTGAAATATCTTGCAATACAGATTTGTGAGGATGAACGTAAAACGGATTACTTGCCACTCTGGATTTCAGAAATGCGCCTTATGTAGACTTACTTTGATCTCAGGAATGGTGATCCTGGTGTCTGGGTTTTTGTCCAGCATTCGTGAGACCAGGCTCTTCAGCCCCTCGCTGACAGTCGGTCTAAGATATCACAGAAACACAGAACAAACAGCTGAAGTGGTAAAACACTAAATCAGAACAACAACAGCACATTTTTATAAGGCATGAGACTCACTGGAGGCATAGGAATTTCAATGTTAACCCCAAAACTGATTCAGAATGCTTCATGAGAGCTGTAGACCACTAAACAAGCTGAACTTCAAACTGCACGGAAAAACTCTGCAAGTAACCCCAGGTACTGTATAGGAATGTTTACCACAAACGGGTTATGAACCCCTGCTCCTTGCACTGCTTTTGCATAATTTACACCACATTGTAATGCCAAATTCTGCAGCAACACAGTAAAATTATGCACAAATCAGTGATCACATGGTTCATATACACAAGCATAGCATTCACAAAACCACCATGTGTTGTATCTTTTTCAAATAACATAATTTCAGCATTTGTTAAAAGACAACATTTATTACCTGTATAGTCTAAAACATACATCCATGATACATTTAATAGCACTAATAAATGTAAAAAAACATTTATATACATTTTATAGCACTAAGCTTACCACTAATGGCATATATGCTGCTGATGATGTGAAATGATTTGATCTGACAATATCAAACATATTATGGACAATGTATAATATACTTTATTATAATATAGAATATATTTTGGGCAATATATATACCGTCTTTCAGATGAGACGTTAAACCGAGGTCCTGACTCTTTGTGGTTGTTAAAAATCCCAGGATGTCCTTTGAAAAAGAGTAGGGGTTTAACCCTGTCATCCTGGACAAACTTGCCCGCTGGCCTCTGTCCATCATGGCCTCCTAACCATCCCCATATCAAAATTGGCTTCATCGCTCTGTCTCCTCTCCACCAATCAGCTGGTGTGTGGTGTGCGGTTTGGCGCAATATGGCTGCCGTCACATCATCCAGGTGGATGCTGCACACTGGTGGTAGATGAGGAGATTCCCCCAAAAATGTGTAAAGCGCTTTGAGTGCCCAGAAAAACGCTATATAAATGCAGGGAATTATCAATTATAATATGACGCAAAATTGAAGAACAAAATGTAAAGGCTGTTTTTAGTCGGTTTAATTTAAGTGCAACATGCAAATGATATGTTAACTCAAAGATGAAAACGTGCAGAAAATATCTCTTGGCTGAAAATAAATCTCAAATATCTCTATATCTATACAACTAATTCTTCTTGTGCTTAAGGCAAAGAGTTAATGAAACTGGGTGAAGTTCAAGCTTTAAAAGGAAAGAAAAAAAAAGTGTGTAGAGAAGATGCGTGGAAGGCTATCAGATTAGGTATGCTGATTTCGGTTAATTTTGATAACCGACTACTGCAGCTCGTTAACCGAATATTAACCGTTAACTGGTCAATTTAATATTATTATTCATTAATTTTCTTTTTGGCTTAGTCCCTTTATTAATCAGGGTTCGCCACAGGGGAATGAACTGCCAACTTATCCTCCAGCTGTAACCCATCACTCGGAAACACTCATAAATTCTCATCCCCACATACAGTATACACTACGGAAAATTTAGCCTACCCAATTCACCTGCACCACGTGTTTTTGGACTTGTGGGGGAAACCAGAGCACCTGAAGGAAACCCACACAAACATGGGGAGAACATGCAACCTCCACACAAAAATGAATGTGCTATCCACTGCGCCACCGCGTTGCCTAATATTATATTATTATTTAATTTAAAAAAAATTGACGTGTCTATTTTGTGTCTGACACACTAATTATTGCATTTAAAAAATATTGATTTATTTTAACATGCGCACATATTAACAACAAACCATAACAACAGCATGCATTTCCACCAGCATAGAAACAAAGAATAAAATAAATAAAATAAATAGGCCGGCCATAGATATTTTTCACTTAAATGACAAATTTAGATTACAAAATGAAAACACTGACTGAATCCTTTTTAAAAACCAGAATAGGCAGTTTTTTTTCCCCATCATATGTTTTTTTTCTTTCTCAAATAAAAATAGCAGGCTACCTCAAATCGATCCGACACTGAAAATATGTTAAGTATTGTGTAAGTATAGGCTACTATAGCACATAACAATTTTGTTTTTTTACATATAATATTGTATTAATTTTTTATTAATTATTAAAGAAAACAGAAATCAGCATCAGCACTGGTTTGGCATCAACACTGTCTCAAACTTTGACCAGCAATATTCTTCTTAAAATTTGAAGAAAAAATATGTCTGTTGGCACGTGTGGTTGCTTGTGTTACCATCCCGCAAGTAAAAAAATATGTGTTGCACATTTATGCAGCCAATTAAAAAAATATATATATTTTCTAATCATTTAACTTATACCATTAATCGGCTAAAAACACACCCTTTCAGTTAACGGTGAATGGGTTATTTTAAACATCCCTATATCAGATGGTACAATTATAGTAAAGTTTTAAAGAAGTGTTTATTTTAACAACATAAAATTGGCAGACAAGGGAATATCAGATAATGCAAATATAATACCATTCACAGTTTTTGAGGTTAGTACAATTTTTCTTTGAAAACCTTGATGTACATTTGACATAAACACATTGATGCTATTTTCACCACCAAAATAATCACACAAAAATATAAAATAAGAATGGTTTTATTCATCTGACATCTAACATAGGCACCAAAAACATAGATAAATCTGACAAATATGACAGTTTTGTTTTCAGTTTAATTTGTTTTTTGATGCCAATGTTAGATGTTGATTTAATATAATTTTGAAATCAAATCAATTTTAATTTCTGATGCATTTTTGATGTTGTTTTGACATTAAGGTGCATGCTGGGTAACCAGACCAACTGTTTCTGTATTAATAACCAATGGTGTAAATAGTTTTATTTAGGAATTGTAATGTGTACTTTTACTTGAGTACCCTGAGAACATTTTCACTTTTACTCCACTATTTTTCTCCGTTCTGCAGTCACTACTTTATTTTTTCTTGACTATGGTGATTGGCTTATTAGAAAAATTAGTCGCATCATACTGAACAACCCCAAGACATGGGTGCTTTATAAATGTAGAAAACCATCTGGAAGCATTAAAAGTGTCCAAGAAGATGTCCAAAATCTTTATGCGCAATGATCAAGAGACTGTTTAGACTGCATGTCACTGATGAGACGATGAAGGAAGTTTACTCTATGATGACTGAAATGGCCAAATGCCCTTAAAAAATGACTAAATCCACTACAGAATGTTACATTTTCAAACAAACGCACAAATTGCATGTAAATGCAGCAACGCCTTTCACAAGCGTAATACTCACTACTTTAATAATAAAGTACGTAATACTCAGTACTTTTAAAAGGGCTACTTTTTACTCATACTTTAAGTAATATTTACAACAGATACTTTTTCTTTGCTTGCACTACATTTTTGGGCTGGTAAAGGTACTTTTACCCGAGTGTGAATTTTCAGTACTCTTTCCACCATTGTTGATAACAGGAAACACTTTCAAATCAGCACATAAGACTAATTTTTGTGCAATCATGTGACACTGAAAATAGCTTTTTCAAAGGAAAAAATGTAAGCTGTAAAATGTTTTTACTTTACATTATTATAAACTATGATAAATTAATTTCATAATTTTACTGTTGTTGATGAAATAAATTCAGCCTGTGTAAAAAAGAAAGTCTTTTAGAAAGTGTAAATGTCAAAATTATAAATGATAGTGTACACAGCATATGATATAAATCACATTCTACTAATATAAAAATATCTGATAATTGAAAAACCTAAAATATACTGAAGGGTTCTGCTGGCAAAAAATACTGAGAGCCCCTAGTCATGTAGACACTATTTTACTGAGAGCCACTGACACTGTGATATCTTTCAGTTAGTTCAGCCACTGAGAACACAACACGGAGCAGTGTGTGTGTGTGTGTGTGTAAGATAGACAAGTTGCTCTTTTATTAGCTGATGACTCCAAACACAGGCACCAGATGACATGCATCCGGATGCCCTCTGGTCTTTCACACACTTCATCAGCACATCATTTAAACAGACTTGCACAAGCATACACAAATATCCTGCATAAACCAACATGAATCAGCTTCACATTCGCTGCACTCAAACATCTCTGACATTTCCTTTCTCTGCATCTGTTCCTGTGGGGTGACTTACGTGTCGGGGAACTCCACCACTTTACTCTTGATCTTATTGTGAAGAGCCAGTATGTACTCATCAATAAATGGGCACTGGAGGACGAGGAAGAGAAATAAAAAAAGAAGACAGACGGATGAGTGATCTAAATCATCAATCACACAATTGTCACCGCAGTAGCAGCAGCGGCAGCCCTTCCATTGATCATTCTGATATATAATACCACAATGAAGAATTACTGCTATCACTCTGATCATATCAGCGCAAGAGGAAACTCACCTTCCCATAGACGAAACAGTAGAGGGTCACTCCCATTGCCCACACGTCCAGAGCCTAAACAGAACACAACTTCTGTTATAGTTATGCAGGACAGTTTTAGGGTGCATTTACACTAGCTTGGTCCACAACCGGGTTCATTTGATGTCAGAGTTCTGTAGGTTTAGCTAGTGTGAACGTTGCATATCTGTCAACCCTCCTGTTTTTCCCGGGATTCTCCCGTTTTTCACAGTTCTATCCGGTTATCATCCCGTAAAGATATTTTCCCGTATTTTTAGTCTTTCTCTGATGGGTGGCAAGTAAACATTAAAGAGCAGAGCCTCCCTATACGCAACCCATACCACCGAACCACCAGAGGACACCCCTTGCTCTTAAATGGTCTGTTCTGTGCTTTTGTTTTATTTTGGCATGAAAATAGTGGGATTCTCTTTTCTTTTTATTACAGGTGCCGTCTCCCCTCCTATGCAATCTTAAAAACAGTGTTGCGTGACTCTGACACTGTTTCCCAAACAGATTCTGTACATGTGATTATTAAAGTGACACCTGTTATTTAATGTAATTAAAGGAAAAATCAAAACAAATGATAGATTCATTCGGTGCTCTTTAATCAAAATGTGTAAGTTATGCAGTGGAGAAAAGATAAATGAGGTTTGATAACTTGATTCTATTTCTTTAAAATAGCTATTAATTTGAATAAGCTGAACTGTTTGCTAAATTGTTTGCAGCTAATGCATATTATTTAATTTAATTTTGTTAATAATAAAACATATTACTGACCTATTTAACTGTTTATTTATAATGAAACCGCTCCAGAAGAACATATTTAGTAATTTGGGGATCCTGGGGACCAGTGAACTGTACTTGACTCCACATGAAATAGGTTGTCTGGAGTACAGTTCGTGCAAACTCTGGTAAGGTTCACTTCTGATATGAATGCAATCATACCAAATAACAGAAGTGAACTGCCAACTGTTCCAACTGTTTTCATAACGATCATTCATGTGTGTATGTCTGTGTATCACCTGCCTTGGTGACAAGTTGGACTGACCTAATGCGAACAGTGATAATGTTTGCTTGCCTCCACCAAAAACAACTTCAGGTTTTAATGGTTTTTGTGGCAGATAGATGCAAGTCGCTCTCTGTATTTTGGTTTTGGTAGCAAAACCAAAAGATTCAGTAAAAGCAGAATGACAGTGATATGCGTATGTCTCCATTTTGATGCTTTGCTTTAATGGCCGTCACCTAGCAACAGCTGTACATAAAACAGCAGCTTGATGATGCAAACATACCAGGGATCAGAAGGAAAAAAAAGACTATGTGAATACAAACCAGCTGATGGGGGACAAGCGAACTTGGGTTAGGACCTGGCATTTGGACCAAGTGTGAAAGCACCCTTACACACATTGACATTTTTTAAAGAAACATTTAATCTAATATTCAAATAGTTTTGCCAAATTTATGATTTTCTTTTTTTTTTAATGCAAAACTGAATTTTTTTAATTGAAATAATTAGAAAAATAAAATCTGTATATTTTCAAGAACTTATTAAATTTTATTTTTATCATATTATAATTATTTAAAAAACTGGAAGTTTAAAAGCACTAAAGAAAGTATAAATTTGTCATCTTTTACATTATTGTCAATATCAGTATATATACATACACACATACATACACACACACACACATACATACACACACACACACACACACACACATACATACATACATACATACATACATACATACATACATACATACATACATACATACATGCATACATGCATACATGCATACATGCATACATACATACATACATACATACATACATACATACATACATACATGTGATGATTACAATTATTTTTGTGATTTTCAAATTCACTTTTGATCAATTTATAGCATTTTAGCAGAGTAAAAGTAATAGTTTCTGGAAAATAAACAAAAATGTACAGTACTTAAAATTACTGTTATTTATTTAAAATGTATACTGTCATCAGTGCTCCCAGTTGTGTTAATATTCGTAATGTGACAAAAATAAAGCCACTATGTTCTTTAAAATAAACATATTTTATATTTCATTTATTTATTTTTTTATGTAGTAGCCAAATGTGATGATTGCAAGTTTGATGAAACTGTGGTTGAAAATGTGGTTTTAATTGACAAAATTATGTGGAAAAAAAAGGATTTCAAAAATCTAAGAAGAAATTAAGTTTGCAAAAACTGGAATAATCAGTTATTAATATGTTACTGGTTCTCATTTGCATCTGATTTGTAGCCATTATAATGCACAAACAGAAATGAAACAACTGAAATGTGGAACACATATAAAGTGTAATATTGCTTTAAAAATGAACAAAACATTATATTATTTTATATATAAATGTATTATTATTTACAACACTCCAGACATCACTTTGGGCACTACGACATGGCCACTACTACAGTAAAGAATACAGCAAGAATAAAATACTAGTTAAAAAAGAAAAGTTAAAATAATGGGTAATGTAGCAATATCTTATTCATAAATAAAAAGTCCTTTAGAGAACACTTTTCAATGATATCCTTTACAAAATCTGTTTGAATGATTGGCCCATCACAACCCATCAGCACAGCCACACATTACCTTTCCACTGAAGCTCTGCCGGTTGTCTGACAGCGTCTCTGGAGCCATGAATGCAGGAGTCCCTGCAGTGCTGGAGAGCAAGGCATCGTTCCCCTCAAACTGGTTACTGACCCCAAAATCAGCAATCTTGACATGGCCGTCATCTCCAAGCAATAAATTTGATGGTTTGATATCCCTGTGAACGATCTTCTGATAGTGCACTGAGCCAAAAGAGAGAAAAAAACAGTAATGAATAATGAGAAATAATATTCAGTATGCCATCAGTATCTATGAAGAGAACAATGAGCTGTTTCAGATAGTTATTTTGCTGACTAGATTTAGGAGATCAACCAAACTCATTCGTTTATTCAGAAAAAACTTTTAATCAAATGAGGAATATATTTCAGGGTTATCTCTATTTTCTACAACTCCTCCTAGGGATTTTATCAGATCAACACCAAAATTGGGTTTTGTCATCTAAAGGCCTTGGTGTTGTCAAATTATGATGACTGAGTTTTTGTCGAATGGCATCTGTTGCGGCCACACAAACTTTGATGTTTCGCCATGAAACAGGAAGTTGTTATAACACAAAATTCACATGTTTGATAACAGGCTTGATCTAAACCTGTTTACAGTAAATGCCAATATCCAGTTGTAGTGCCACGTGCTGGCAACAGGAAATTACATGTTTTACTCTGTAATAAACTTCTCCTAAAGATTGAATCCATTTCGTCAGTAAAATCCAAAGGCCTGTTTCCTGTTTACTTGTGAAGATCTAGAGTTTTTGTCTTGCGTTTTATATACAAATGAAGTCTGAATTTTTAGCTAGTACAACAAACCCCTTGGAACACAAGTGCAGTACAGTTATTATCACACTATTGGCATATTAGACTATAGCAGCACAAGTGCAGTAATGACAGTAAAGAGTTTATTTGTTTTTACTTTAGCTTACTGCAACTTTTACTGCTGTTGTATTTTACTGTATTTGAACTGTATTTATTCTTCATTGTATTGCAATTGCACTTAGTTTTACTGCAATTATACTTCTATATACTGCGGTTGTACTGCAGTTATTTTTTGTAAGGGAAGTCATAACTGAACTAAACAGATATGAAATTAAGACATGTGGAGTATGCATATATTAGTATAATATTGAAGTAAACACTGCAATCAAAATATTACCATCATATATCTGCGCTAAAATATCAAGGTGAAAGTCATCATAACTTGCGTAGAACAAACCCACCTCCCAATCCAACTTTGAGAATAGATTATATATATATATATATATATATATATATATATATATATATATATATATATATATATATATATATATACACACACACACACACACACACACACACACACATATATATATATATATTCTTTTTACAATATTTCCCAAATGATGTTTAACTGAGCAACGAAATTTTCACAGTATGTCTGATAATATTTTTTCTTCTGGAAAAAGTCTTATTTGTTTTATTTTGGCTAGAATAAAAGCAGTTTTTAATTTTTAAAAAACATTTTAAGGTCAATATTATTAGCCCCTTTAAGCTATATATTTTTTCGATAGTCTACAGAACAAACCATCGTTAACAACACAACATGTTTTTCTTTTTCATTTCATTTTTGATCCAAGGAATCACATAATCAAAATTTGAATCAGATAGATTTCATGATTTTCTTTCAGTGTCACATGTTAATTTTTTTTTCAATATCATCAATACAAAAACTGATGGTTGTTAATTTTTGGGATATAAGAGTAACAAATTGGTGATTTTTAAATTATTATAAAGGGTAATACATAAATCAATCATATAATTTTAATAATATATAAGTTATAATATTGTGCAAATTAATCAAATCTCACCTGCTCGATTTGTATAATCTTAGTTTGTTATTAATCTATTCGTTTGACAAGTTATATTTAGAAACATTACAAACAAACAAACAAACATTTTTTTGTGTAAGAGTGAATCTTCAAGACAAAGTTAGAAAATTATATTATTTGGAATCAGAAAAAAAAAAAATCTGAACATGAAAACAAATCCAAACTAACACAGCATTGCTTAACTTTGACAGTTTTGGTCTAACGTCCCTAGGGAAGGAAAGCCATTCCAGACTGGAACACATGTTAACATTGTTATTAAAGATAATCAAGTCAAAATATTGTCATGAATAGCAGCGATGTGAGCTAACAAAGTAAATAGTGCAAATTTAGATTTCATGATGGCTATTAAGCACAATTGAAGAGGCAGCATAAAATCAAGTGTGTCTGAGCACAGGAGGTCTCAGCTTAAATCCAGCAGAATAGCTGAAAAAGGTCACAAGCAGAAGCTGAATTTGACTGGTTAAAAGATGCCTCAAGTGGTCAATCAGAGATAACCTGTCCTTCACTTAAGATCTTTCAGTCATGTGTCATTACTGCTAATATATGACAAGAGCCACATGTCAGACATCTTCAGATGACAAGCATGTTAATGAAAAAAGAAAATCCATTAAGGAACAAAGACGCGTGTTCAAAGTACTAGCAGGTTATTGAATATAATTATTTCATCAAAGTCAGCAAGAGTGGTGAATGTGACACAGAAAAAAGCTTATGTAAGGTCATGACTATACGCTTTTAGAGTGTTGTACAGTAGATGCGCTTCTGCTTCTTGTGTTATATGTGTTTTCAACATTAATAAACATAATAACTGTAATGACTGATTTCTACAAAATAATTTCTTTTCCACGATGACAGTACATAATATTTCGCTGGGTATTTTGCAAGGTACTAGTATTCTGGTGAAGTGTAATTTAAAGGCTTAATTAGGTTAAAAAAATAACTTGGCAAGTTTGGTTAATTAGGCAAGTTACTGGATAACAGTGGTTTGTTCTGTAGCCAATCTAAAAATATATTAGATATATGACAGCGTCACCAAACTGTTGACTTGTGCCTAAACAATTCGGAAACTGAATACCGTATATGCGACCTTAGGTTCGCAATCACCTGTTTGTCTTGTTCGTATTAAAGATCTGCGCAGGATGCTCTCTCTTAATTTAACAAAATCTCAAAAATTTCCGGGTTGCCCATAATGCGCATGCACACTCGAAAGGAATGAGATCATGATACCAACCTCATTTATGGCCAAGAAGTACCCGGATAACCTACCACTACCAGCAAGATTCTAATATTTATATATATATATATATATATATTAGAATCTTGCTGGTAGAAGTAGGTCATCTGGGTACTTCTCGCCTATACTGTTTTTCAAATACAGTGAATTCAGACATACTACTTGGCTCGCACTACAGTTTTTAACAAACCATGTGGTAGGGAAGTATGCGATTTTGGAAGTAATCGATTTTTGCCCTCAAACAGTAAAAATGTTTTAAAAATTTTAAAAAAATACAAAGCAAAACACATTCCAACTGGCATTCAATGACATTATCATCTGTGGAAAAAATATCTTTAAAGCATATTTTAAAGATTTACTTCCTCTTGTTTGATTACATCATAACTTTAGTCTGAACATTTTTTTTAAATTATAATAATGTTTAAAATGCCATCTTTATCAATTCAGTTACCGTCCTTAGTGTGAACATCCTAAATTAATAACAGTGACATGGCTCCCTGTTGCAGCTAGCATAGTGCTAATGAAACAAACAGAATATGGATGTTTCCTCTGATTGCAGTCCACAAATTACCAGCACAAACAAAGGAGCTGGTTGTGAACAGACTGATTTGTGCAAATGGCCTGTTGCCATCCAGACGGTTGCCGTAGCGAGTGTTGCCTGGTTAGTAGGATTCAAATGAATTGATGAAAGCCGCGTTTCCACTTGATGAGCAGAAACAGACACTTCAATCAACTCTGCTGAGCTCATTCCTCTTGTTTGAGCGGCCATCTTAATTAAAGGTTCAATACAATTTAGGCTCCGGCTACATACATATTGATTAGCCTAAACATGTTTAACATTGTCTGCACTACAGTGTAAATGTCTATTTACTGTAGGTATTGAGCTCTGCTAATTAATTAATATTTACTCACATGGTTTAGTTTAGGACCACTTAATATATTTGTGCAGGATTAACTGTTGTTAGTACAGTATGTGCTGTCTTCAACAAAGACTATAAATATCATTTAAACTGTAAAATATAGTGTTATTAATCATTTTAATATGTTTCCTTTTAAAAATAAGACTATAAGGGCATACATACTGTACAATAGAAGTGAATATACCCTTAAAGTATAAGGTGTTTTAAGGCATTATTCTGAAAACCCATTGTTGGTTCATTCTGGTACTTGGTCACACTTTATTTTGATGGTCTATTTGTTGAATTTAGGTCAAATTGCATCTATATGGCAACTAATTCTCATTAGATTACAAGTAGACTGTTCGGTTGGGGTTAGGGTTAGTGTAAGTTAACATGTACTTGCAAAGTTTCTTATAGTCAGTTAAATGTCTGTTTAGCAGCAGCATCAACAGCAATTAAGGCAGTCTACTAATGCTCAAATGCACCATCAAAATACAGCGTTACCTGGTACTTTAATTTATTGAATGTACGACCATTTTAGGGTGATTTTAAAGCAAACTGCTCGCATTAATACATCTCATATTTGTATTATTTGAGGAGTAAAGTTGTTTAAATAATTTTTAATTATTTAAGGGTTTATACTGTAAGCAGTATTTGCAACCTTTATTTAACTACTAAATATGTACAGTGGGAGAAAAAAGTATTCAACACGTCATACTTTTTTCTGTAAAATAAAATATTCTAAAGAACCTGTTAACATGGAATTGAACCAGATTTCGGTAAAAACCCAAACAATACAAACATAAAAATTAAACAACAAAAAAATCTGGAAAAAATGTTTCAGTATGTGTAATAACAATGGAATGACACAAGTAGAAAGTACTAAATTACTGAAATGTATTTAATACTTTATATAAAAAACTTTTGTGGTGATGGCAGCTGAAAGCAGCCTCTCATATGGAAAACAAATTCATAGGCATTGCACAGGTGTGATTTCCTTTTCACACACTTTGACATCTTGATGGTTCTGTGAGTCTCATCTATCAAATCTAATTTTATTTTGTATATTTTACTGGATTTGAGTCAGGTAATTGGCTGAGCCATTTTGCAGCTTGATTTTCTTTCTCTGAAAGCATTTGAGAGATTCCTTGGTTGTGTTTTGGATCATTGTCTTGCTGGAATGTCCACTTTGGTTTCATCTTCATCATCCTTGCAATGTAGAAGTTGGACTGAAGCAGCTAACATTTATTTACACTGATGAAAGGAAGAAGGTTGCTGAAGAACTGCTGAGAGATTTCTGTTGCCATCTGGGCTTTCACTGCCTTTCTATACCTTCCTTTTTTTATATGTTCAATACGTATTTCCGGTGTCATTCTATTTTATTACACATAACTTCATTTGTAAACTAATTAATATTATTTTATTATTAACCAGGTTTATTAATAACATCTGGTGAAAATTTCAAGTCAACAGCACCTTTAGAAGTATGTTTTCTGAGAAAAATGGTGAAGTCTTCAAAACTTATTTCCCCCACTGTACATGAGGCATTTACAGAACATACATTTTAAAGTGATGGGAGACGAAATATACTGCAAACTCAGATGTTCTCCCGACCCAAAGAATTATAACAATGTTATCATCTCATGCAGCAAAAGTGTAGGTGCTGCAATAAAAAAGCTGCATGATAAAATATAGTAGCTGCAAGTTTCCTGCTGACATGTTGCAATACCCTTCTTTGGCATGTAAAGATTTATTTAACATGGCAACTGACATAAAAAATGAATTCGTAAATGTTGATGCAGACTGGTGGTGTGTGTTATCAGTGCTTGTAAACGTGTTCAGTGCTTAAACCTGAATAGAAATATTTTCACTTATAGAAACAGAGAAACAAGAACACTGTGGTTAAAAAAACTAAAAGACTGAAGCGGTTTCATAAATGTAAATGATTACTCATCTCTTTGGGTCAGTGAATATCCACTGCCAAAGCTTTAATAGACACGTCTGAATCATTTTCATTTAGGAATAACATCCCACGGATGTATGGATCAAGATTGTGAACTTTTAATGATTATATGTCCAGCTCTAATCAAATATAATGCCAAAGATACTGTTGGTAAATGCTGCTTGACTTTAACTGCAACAAGAATATCCCTTAAGGGGTTTATTAATTATAAAAGTCATTTTTTTAGCTTATTAATCAGTATTAAGGTAATAAATGGGTTTAGTTATTAGGTAGGACTACGGATGTAAGATCATGCTGAATATGCAATTTATACAGCAAGTACCAATAAACATCCAATATCTTAATAACAGGCAGGTAATAAGCCACTATTTAATAGGGATAATTGATACTTGAACTAAAGTGTTAAACCCATATTATTACACTGTAAAATCCAACAGTCAACTTTATCAAATGAAATGAGTGTAGTTAAATCAAACTTGACTGACAGTTAATTCTACTCATTTAAAAAAGAGTTTTGAACTCAGTGTTAATAAGGCATATAAATGCCTCATTTCTTCAACTTAAATGGAGTAAGTTCACAGTGCTCAAATAAATTAGTGTTTTTTTAAGTCAAATGGTTTGATGCAGTCTGTTTCCTTAAATGGTTTCAGTTGCCTTAACATATTGGTATTTACAATAAAAAAGTTGGTTTGAGTTCTTTTCATTTATTGGGTTTTACTGTGCTCAAATTGCTTCATTTACTGAAATGCATTAAGTTCACAGTACTCATTAGGATTAGTTTTTGAACTTTAATGGTTTGTTGCAATCGGTTTCCTCAAACGGTTTGAGTAACCTTAATTTTTTGGGTTTTACAGTGTAGTTTTCTAAAAGTTTATGTTTTAATTAAATAGGTCCTCATTCGCAAACAAAATCCAAACATTGGTTGAAGTCAGTTTGAAACTGTAGTTTCTTTTGGGTATCTCTTTTTATCCCTTTATAATTCAGAACAAAAATAAAATTATTTTGAGTTTATCATGTATATATAAATAATATTTATAAGCAAATCCCTCTGTAACATATTCTGAACAGATATATGAATAAAACAGCAGTTTTGTGCATGTACATGCAGCTAAAGTTCAGATTTAAGGCTCAGCGCAGGAGAAAAAAAAACATTTTTTTAAAAACAACTGTTGAAAATATGTATAGTCATGGAAATCTACAGATTATCTACATATATATATATATATATATATATATATATATATATATATATATATATATATATATATATATATATATATATATATATATATATATATATATATATATATATATATATATATATATTTTTTTTTTTTTTTTTTTACATAAAAAACCCAAAAATAAAACCTCAAAACGAACAGGCGCATGCAATAACAGTGTTTATGCCTGCAGTGCCTGGCCTTAATACATCATGTAATGTTATCTTTATGCAACAACATGACATCTAATTTCTTGTTATCTACTGCTTCTTCTTTTGACAGATGAGAAGATCAGAAGAGCCTTTAGATATAGCACAGACGATGACCTCCTCTATGCACAAACACACAACCGCACTGCCACATTCGCTCACTTCATTAGCCCAACGGGACGCCATGATGCGTTAAAACAACAAACACAGAGACTGAGCTCTCTTGGGCTTTTATTTTTACATAAGTAATGATTAATGTCTGCCGCTCGTCTGCTGGAGTCTGCTCCTCTCTTTCCTCCTGGGGTTTATTTAACTTCAGACGCTCGCTTACAAAAACCATGTCAAGGTGGTCTCCTTAGAAACTAAAAATGGAGCCCACTGAGGTCGATCATTGAAAAAAAGCTTTTCAAATAAAGGAAGTGACTCACAGTACTCGATGCCCAGGACAATGTCTCTGAAGTAATGGCGGGCCTGGTCCTCGGTGAAGGGACTGTCGCTTGGAACCTCCATTACAGGCCTGGAAACCAATGGAGACACTTTATTGAGTTAACAGTAACACTTTACAATAGGAGTACATGAATACTGATGCATTCATATGTAAGATAAACATTACTTTATTATGAATTAATGATGAGTAAATGCACCTAAAACCTACTTGTGAAAGGCTATGCTTGTTGTATCAAAAATGTAACATATCAAATATACTGTAATATGTATAGTGAGCTGTGTATGGTTAAAAGGTAAACACGTTCTCTTTTTGTTCATCTCAAAGAGTATAAATTTAACAGCAAAACAGCACAAAAATAACAGAAATATGGCTGCAAAGTTTGAAAAAAGTCACAGCAAAAATAAATCATTTTAGTCTGCAATAAAAAAGTTTTTCCTTCACAAATTCCAGAAGGGCCTGCATGGTTGAGCACTGAGCAGACAAAAAAAAAAAAAACACCTAGAGACAGGTACTGGTATTTTAACAGGTACAGCCTGGAGACTGCAGTTGATTGCCGGTTGACAAGCGGGAAAAAAAAAGGCAGAGAAAAATAGCCATATTAATAGACAAATTCCATGAAATGATGTGATAAAAATGTAGAGAAAAAAATATCTTGATAAATGGGACGTAAAAATGACCACCAAAAATGCCTGATATACTTCGATAACAAATATATGCAACATCTGGAATGAACCTTTTAAAAATCCATGATATTCAAGATTTTCCATGACCAGTGGAAACCCTAAATACATTACAATCAATTCCAAAAGTTGAGTTCACAAATCAAATGTGTGACGACGTAACACTAGGCAACTCAGTTGTGCGACTGTGAGACATCTGTGAGAGAACAGAGGATTCTGGGAAAGCAAAGGACTGCAGACACAGTGGATGGAAACAAACTGTGACTGAGATTTACATATAAACCAATCACAAAAACCACTTAGCACAAAACAAGGTCCTCAAAGGCCATTTCATTCATTACCCACAGGCAGTGAATCACGATTGAGCAGAAAGGCCAAACATATTCAGCCAGGTCTAGTGAAAATAGACCATTCTGTAATTATGCAAAGTAACTTCTAATCTGCTCTTTTCAAGGCAGAAGCTCGCAAACACCAGAGACGCCGAACAACACATTTCTCTCCAAAACAAAGCCCGGCCACTTGGCACAAACTCATAATCAACCAAAGTAAAATGTCACATTCGAAAAAAATATAATAAACTAGAAGACCGTTGCCCTTTAAATGAGCTTTTTGTGGGTTTAGAATGAGAGAAAGCAACAGAATAAATACATTCTCAAGTAAAGCTGAAAAAATTAATCGTTTGATATGACATTAAAAAAAAACTATTCAATTACAAAAACCTAAAGAACTGATCTAGAAAATGAACTGAGAGACTGAGAAAGAGAGAACATAAGCATTTAATTGATCTCTTTGGAACAAGATCTAAATGACGACAGATACGCAAGAGAAGGCAGTCGATGAAGGAGGGATGAGGTGATTAATGGAACGACAGAGGATGGAAGATAACATCATGAAAGCATCAATTACGCACAAAAGATGACTAAGTGGACACGCTGAACACTCACCCTTTCTGCATCAGCTCAAACACTGCAGAGAAATCAGAAAGAAAGACTCATTAAAGCAAAACCATTGTGAATCCATTGTGAACAGGTATATTTGGGTATTGACAAATGTATTATCTGCTGCACTTTATGTAACACAATGTTCCCGGTTCTTATTTACGATGTCATCATATCCTCATATGACCCAGTTTGCGTTTTAGAAATTTGATGTGTGCTTTTATTCGCACCATTGCTTAGTGGTGTGAAGTCTTTCAGGATTTTCTTGGAGTCCATCAGCTCAAACGCTTTATATTCATTCCTACAGTATGAGTCAGTAGTGAGTCACACAGACTTGCATTTGAAACTGTTATTCTACAGAATCTCACTTCAGCCCATTAGGAAGACGGGCCGCACTGTTTGATCTGTTTGAAATGTATGCCATGCTCTGCTTTTCATTAAAAAAGTAAAGTTTGTAATGGAGGACCTCAGGGGTTTCAAACTGACTGAAATCTTGTGGTGCAAAGTGCAATGCAATAATCTGTTCTTGATACATTAAAGAGCTACTTCAACACATGATTTAAAGAGAGAGTTCACCTAAAAATCTAACTTCTTTCATCATTTACTGACTCTTGACTTGTTTCAAACCAATTGTAGTTATTTGTTCCGCTAAAGACAAAATAAGATATTTTAAAGAATGCTGGAAACCAATGACTTCCATAGTATTTATTTTTATACTATGGATATCAGTGGTTACAGGTTCCAAATATTCTTCAAAAACATCTTTTGGGTTCAACAGAAAAAAATAAAATAAAATACAAAGCTTTTGTAATTTTGTATATTTTAAAAGCCAATGTAATAAATCCTTGCTAAATAAAATTATTAAAAATACAACAGATATAATCAGTGTTTTAGACTAAGTGTCGCATTGACACAAAGATAATCAATCACGTGCTAGCTACAACAGTTTTTACACATACATTTAAAGTCAAAATTATTAGCCCCCCTTTGATTGTTTTTTCTTTTTTTAAATATTTCCCAAATTATCTTTAACAGAGTTATGATCTTTAACACATTTTTACAGTATGTGTGATAATATTTTTTCTTCACGAGAAAGTCCTATTTGTTTTATTTCGACTAGAATAAAAGTCGAGTTTTAATTTTTTTAAAACTATTTTAAAGACAAAATCATTAGCCCCTTTAAGCCATATTTTTTCTAAAGAACAAACCATCCCTATACAATAACTTGCCTAATTACCCTAACCTGCTCAGTTAACCTAATTCAACTAGTTAACGCTTTAATTGTCACTTTAAGCTGTATAGAAGTGTCTTGAAAAATATCTAGTCAAATATTATTTATTGTCATCATGGCAAAGATAAAATAAAAAAAGCATACCCATATGAAGGTTGTCCTCTGCTGGGTCATCCAGTACCTGAAAAAAGAAAGTTTATTAAAACACCATTTGCTGCACTCACTGTATAATGATACTGCACAGTCACTTTTTTACAATATGGGCACACTAAAAGGCATTAAATAATGCATAACTAATGCACAGGTAATCTTGAATTAATGTATGACTCATAAAGAGTGATTACTGCATCAGCAGCAACTGAACAATCTATATGATTCATAGCTTAAGTAATCAGTATATTATTATTAGTCAAATGTGCCACAATCTATTAATTTCCGCTTATTTTCAAATTATCAGCTCTATAATCTAAATGCATGGTCTAAATCAGGGGTTCTCAAACTTTTTAGCCTGCAACCACTAAATTAATAACTCCAGTGACTCGTGAGCCCCATTATGCTCAAAGGTGGTTATAAACATACAAATATTGTACACAATGGTGCACACACACCAACAGGAACTACCTGTATAGTATATAAACACAAGCATATTAACAACACATTGCAGGGGTCTAACAAACAAATAATTTTTATAATCATTATTCATTGTTTCACTTAATATGAATGAGCATAATATTAATATTAATAATTTAATATTTTTAATTAATAATAATTTTATATGAATAAAAATTAATCACTTAATGAGAAAGGTTGGCACAATGTTTACAGCACAAGACTATTCTTGGTATAATTATGAAGATTATCCTCCATGTTCAGTCGTGGGCTTTATTTTTTATTTATGTGAGTGCCATAGGATTGTCAAAGTTTAACATTGTGCCGTAAAACAAATCTGCTGCAATTAAAGCTTTTGCTTTGACGTTAATCTTGCATAATAACCACAGGGGTGGCAATCCAATAAAAAAAAAATTTGAAAGGCTGATGGCTTTTTATTTGCATGGTGTTTTTTGTTACTATTAAATATTAAGTATATATTAAATATATCATAAGGTAAAAACAAGTTTTATCTTCTGTAGGTTATGGATAAAATATAGTAATCCTAATAGTTTAAAAACATAAATGAGACTTTGCTATTTTAAGGATGGGAAAAACTGGATGTGTTCTGGTCATATTATGCATTAAACATGCTGGATTCCACCAAAGCCCAATGAGATGAAGACGACACGAGAGTTGATAGTGGTGACTGCGTCCTTGTCTTCTGGCATTGCAAGAATGCCTGTAAAATGCCAAAAAAGTGCAATGAGGTCATGAGATGGGGGAAAACAGAAAGTGGCCATTTAATTCTTACATTTTTCAAAGATCTTTGTCTGTGCAATAAGCAATGCATAAGTGTTGTGAACCTGCCTATAGGCGCATATCGCTAACATGCTCTTTAAATAACCACAAAAATAATATTGCACCATTTACTTTAAACCAGCGTTTAGTTGGTCAATTGCATTCTCTTTTTCAGTTGCCTCAAAATAGCAGCACAGAAACAATTCACCTCCATTACAGATCAGCACACCTATGGGTGCACAAATGGGTGCGAATGCATTTGCTATCCAAACAATATGACACTGGATGGAAAATTATACCTATGCCTGGCTGAAACTACATAAGACAGTCAAGATCTTAGTAGAGTGTCAGCTAGTTATAAACCAGTGTGTGCAAATATGATACGACAGAAAAACTAACACCATTGACGAGTAAGTCACTCCGAACCTGCTAGAAAAAGTTGCTTATTACTGGAAAACCTTGACTAAAAAGATGCACTCAATCTGAAAACAGCCAAGCTCCTGGCACAGGCCTCTACTTTTAGTTTTACACGAGTGATGAGATTCGATAAGCATCGGGTGCAGCTCATCCTTCACTGCCAGCAGAGCTCCATTTCTGTTTCCTGTATTAAGGCTATACTTGAGCCGGCAGCCGGAGAGCTGAGGAGATTGGAGTGTAGGTGGTTCCTCTTCCTCACTTTCTAAGTTTCCTTTAAACATTTTTCATGCTCGGATTGAATGTTTCTCTTCCATGCACCCTCTCAGCCCACTTTTCTAATTTTGCTGACGTACGTGGGAGACGCTGTGATTGAAGAGCACTCAGACAGAAAAAGAAAGATCATTTTTTTTCTTTCAGCATCCCTCCTTTCTACCTTGCTTTTCTTCATCCGGCCATCGATTGCACTCCTTCTCCTCTCCCCACCCCATTCTGAGGGCACCGAGGGCATCTCTGTTCAACAGATTTACTCCTGGCTGATTTTCAGCATTGCTATAATTTCATCCTCTCTAGTCTGTAATTCGGCTTGGTTCTTGAGGGTCTAAATCAGTTAAATTCAGTTCCCATTTATATTTCCTCTCCATTTGTTTTTAGTGTCTTTGCAATTCTAATCTAATGTTTTCATCTGACTGCATCCAAGACCCAGAGTGTCCTAATATAACTACAGCAGCAAGTGTTTATTAACCAGTTAAGCTCTGGGGCTATTTGGGGTAATTCCGCCTGAATTTGGCCTTCCGATTTAAAAAGCTTCCCATACCCACATGCAGAGGTGTAAATATAAAAGTTTGGTATCATTTGAATGGAAACCCTTTGAAATTTCATAAAATACAGTTGAAATTGAAAACAATTGTTGTATATGTTGTCTGTGTTATAATAAACACACAAAAAATGTGATTTTTTATATAAACTGAAGTTTGGAAATGTGTAACTCAGGCCTTGAGTGTTCCAGCACCCTGGACACAATTTTATTTCTTTCCAGCAGGTGTCAGCAAACACAGGAAAAATTATTCATTTCTTTATAATAATTTATGTGAGAGTTATTCTATTCCAACTGCAAGGAGGAAAAATGCCATTTTTTTTTATTTCCGCCTACCTATTTTTGAAGTCTCCCCATACCCTCATACAGTACAATAAATGCAATATCTCAGTGTCATTTTACAGAAAACCCTTTCAATTAAAAAAAGAACTGCTGAAAGTGATAAATAATATTATATATGTTGTCTGTCCTATGATGAACCACCTCAACACAAACTGCTTTTAGTTTTTTTGTTCTAAAGCCTGATTAGAAAGTGTATAACTCAGGCCCTCTATGTTCCATCAAATTGCAGATTGTTTTGATTGTTACCAGCATTTGTCAGGAGACACTAGAAAAAAGCATTTTGTTTTTATCATGTAGTATGCAATAATTATATTAGTTCAACCAAAGGGTGGGAAATCAACTTTTTTGCTTCTGATCTGTGACTTTTACGCACTCTGTTTTGGACACCTCTATTCCTGTTCGTCATGCAATATCTCAGTCACTGATTGGCTTATCAAGGCTTGCGATACATCAGCGTAAAGCCGAGAATCTCACCTTTGTGATATGTAATACATCTGGATAGGTTAAAGCTATCATATTTTCCTGAATTTTGGAATATCATGACCCTAATTTGTTTTGTTTGGCACTTACAAAACACAGCAGGGGGTTACGATTGCACACATCCTCAGAAAACGCTGAAAATGGACTCATTTTGCAGAGGACAACCTAAGGTAAAAGATGATGTAGCTTGTTTGGCTATCTGTGCTATCTCCGGCAGCTCATGGAGCAAATAATCAATAATTTCCCTTGTATGTTTCCAAAAATTAGTTTATACTTTATGATTCATTCGAAGACTGTTGGATATGTGATTGTAAATAAAAGTGTAAATAACTTTGTTACAGTACAACAAATATCAAAGTGATGTGTATCAGTTGAAAATAGACATTCTAAGCTTTCACCCAGTAGGTCATATGGTGTTATTGATGCAGACAGACCTCTTAAATCTATAGTTATTCTCCCGATGATGTCATTTTGTCCCCGGTACCGAGCACGCAGAGTTTAAATGGTTAATCAATAAAGTAATAATAAATTCAGAAAAATATTCTGAAGTAAAAAAGAAAGAAAATAAAAGTAATAAAATAAATAAACAAAATAAAATAAATAAATAATAACATAAATAAATAAATAAATAAATAAATAAATAAATAAATTAAATTAATAAAAGAAAGAAAGAAAATAAACGTAATAAAAAATAAATAAAGGAAATAAAATAAATAAATACATAATAAAATAAATAAAGAAATAAAAGAAAGAAAGATGAAGTAATAAAATAAATAAAGGAAATAAAATACATATGCTATAAATAAAAGTAATAAAGAAAGTAAAGAAAGAAAAGAAAATTAATAAAAGAATCAAATAAAATAAACATATAAATAAATAATAAATAAAGGAAAGAAAAGAAAGAAAGAAAGAAAAAAATAAAAGTAATAAATGAAAATAAAATAAAATAAATAAATACTAAAAAATAATAAAAGTAATAAAATAGATAAAAGTAACAAATACACTACATAAATAAATAATAAAATAAATTAATTAATTAATTAATATAAGAAAGAAAAGAAAAGTAATAAATAAAAAATAACATAGATAATAAAATAAATAAAGAAAAGAAAGAAAAGAAAGAAAATAAAAGTAATAAAATAAATAAAGGAAATAAAAAAAAATAATAAAATGAATAAATAAAATAAATAAAATTAAAGAAATAAAGAAAGAAAAAAAAGGAAAAAAAGAAAATAAAAGCAATAAAATAAACAAATTAATATATAATAAATAAATGAAAGAAAAGTAAGAAAGAAAATAAAAGTAATAAAATAAATAAAGGAAATAAAAAATAATAAAATGAATAAATAAAATAAATTAAATTAAATTAATAAATAAATAAAAGAAAGAAAAGAAAAAAAAGAAAATAAAAGCATTAAATAAACAAATATATAATAAATAAAAGAAATACAAGAAAGCAAGAAAGAAAGTTATAAATAACAAATAACAAATAAAATAAATAAAGAAATAAATAATAAATATAGAACATAAAAGTAATAAAATAAATAAAAGTTACAAATAAAATAAATAAATAATCAAATAAATAAATAAATTAATTAATTAATTAATTGATAAATTAATAAAAGAAATAAAATAAAGACGATAAAAGTAATAAAACAAATAAAGAAAGAAAATAAATAAATAAGATAAATAAATAATAAATAAAAGAAAGAAAGAAAGAAAGAAAGAAAGAAAGAAATAAAGAAAGAAAGAAATAAAGAAAGAAATAAAGAAAGAAAGAAAGAAAGCTTGTTTATTCAGAAAGAGTCTTAAAAGTAACGTTTCAATGGATGAACGGAAAGAAAAAGAGAAGTAGGCTCAAAGAAACTATATTTTAGATTTGCTACTATGAACGTGTTATTAACTGGCACTAGTCATTAGCTGAGGATTATAATAATGAATGAAATAAACTGAATTTCATTTTACCTCAACAAGTTTAACTATGTTCAGATGGTCCAGTTTTTTCAGGATTGCAATCTCCTGGTAAACTCTCTCCAGAGGACCGAGCACTTTAGGCTGCTCCCCCTGGGCAGCTTTAGGACCTCTGGGAGGAGGACGTCCTGCACGGGGAAAGAATGACATTTAAATGGCATTAAAATTAACTGAAAATACTGCTTCAGTTAAACAGAGAAATGCTTCAGCATCTGCTCCAAAAGGACAACATCTGCTTAGCATAACATCTGCATGCATTAGAATTTAATTTAAAGCCATACATACTGGGAAATCCATACTGCTTCATCAGCTTCTTCTTAGATACAACTTTCATTGCCTGCAAAACAAGACAAGATTCAATAAGACAAATCTTACCAAGATTACACAAGTCTGATCTAAGTGAACTAGCTTATTTCCACCGCCCTGAGCATATCAAACGACATAATCAACAGATTTTTTTTCATCTACATACTAATCAAACAAAGCTTTAAGAGAGTTCAATCAACGACACTCGAGATTCCTCTCACAGCAGTGCTCCTGCGTAGGTGATTGCTAAAGTCAATGTGGAAATGTGGTCACAAACAGTGACTGACAGACTATAAGAAGCTTACAAATCCAAGAGCTTGTGGTGTACATGTGATTTATTTTTACACTTTTTGGGGGGTAACACTTTACGTTCATAAGACTATGATTAAACCTTTATGATCATGACATCACGAATATGAATGAGATTCTACACATGCATACGAAATAAAAGGTTCTATTTTTAACAATCTAGGCGCAAAGTCTAAAGCGCAAGGCGCAAAAGCATTAAGACCATGTCCGAATCCACTTTTGATGTTATAAGGATGGAAAAATACGGTATAACAGGGTTGTGCTTATTCTCTTAATGAGTTATGGATTTGTTTTGAGCATAACGTGCATTAAACCAATCGGAGTGTCATCTTAGATTTCCTTTAAGAGTCAAATGCGTCACACCATGGCGCATTTGCTATTTACATGGCGGACTTTGTAAAAAGAAAAACTAAATGCTTCTCTATCGAGAAAACGGGTAAACAGACCATCTGCAGCATGAGGATAAAGAATGAGCCTCCTCCATTCGGCCTCTTTACTTTCTCTTTACTTTTACTCTTTACTTTTGTGGATAAGGAAAGCGTGTTGTACACACTCCACTGAAGACATCCCTTAGCCTACATATTTAATCTAAATTGTTAAGTACAAAGATTTGTTTCAAAACCATTTCTAAATTCAGTTCTAATTTCCAGTAAAAGAATAAATGAACAATAATAACAAAGTGTGGTCAAAAAACTGAGTTATATCCAAACACTTGTCCTATTCTTATGCCCCATATGGTGATGCTTACATCTCCAAATCCCGACAGGTAGACAAATCTACACTTGTTTTTTAAAACAAATATAAATATGCACATAATAAATAATACTGCTAATAACAACCCAGGCTCATTGTGGAAATGTAGCAACGCGGACGTTTCTGGAGACCGCAAAATACGTCCCTGGAGGTACGTATTTCTGCAGTTATTGTTTTCACGAATCCCATGTATTCGCGGCCACACTGTTCTCACGTAAAAAGCGACCAGAGGCCGTTGTCAAGCGACCGTGTGTCTGACTGACTGACTGAATGTCTGAACGATTGACTGGGCGGCCGGCCAATTGGCTGACCCAGCCATCCTCTTTCTCCTCCTTCCCTAAACCCAAGCAATGATTTACAAACGCCGTTCAGAAAAAAGAAAAGCCCTCATCTGATTTTGGCCACGTTTTCGGATTTCACTGCATTCTCGCCACATGAACTCGTTAACTTTTTTGGGGGGATTTTGCTATTTAAACAATGTCGAGTTAGGGTTTCACTGGTCTGGGTGGCTTCATGCCAAAAATGTCTTGCTCATTATTGCTCCAGATGTATGATAGGGTCCTAAGGGTCATTAACTCAGTTATGTCATTTTAAATGCAAAGGTGACATTACTTTACTGGTTCTGTATTGACATAGACAAATACATCATAACCTTTTTTTTGTCTTTTCCTTAATAAATAAATATCAAGACAACATAACTTAAACATGATTGTCAAGAAGCCAATATAATTGTCCTAAATTCTATAACAGCACCTGTTATGTTTTAGAACATACAAATTTTTTGTAATTATAATTATTATAATTATAATTAAGGCAACATGGTGGCGCAGTAGGTAGTACTGTCGCCTCACAGTAAGAAAGTTGCTGGTTCTAGCCTCGGCTGGGTCAGTTGGCGTTTCTGTGTGGAGTTTGCATGTTCTCCCCGCATTCGTGTGGGTTTCCTCCGGGTGCTCCAGATATATTGTTTATGCATCTAGAGCTGATGGAGCATGCACAGGTTTGTCTCTCTCTCTCCCTCTCTAGAGCTGCGCTTGATTGGGGTCCAGGTCCAGCTGTGTAGCGAGCAGGAGCGTATATAAGTGGAGGAGAGGAACAAAGGATGAATCTTCTGCTCGGTGCAGGTTGCAAAGCTCTGCCGCTGCTGTTGTTCTGAGGAGCTCCTATCTCCTGCCCCAGACTATTTGTTGCATAAGTGTGGTGTGGTTGACTGATTTCGTTAGCTGAAAAGTCTTTATTTCTTTTCTAACTGCTCGCTGTATTTTAATCTGAGCCTGTGTGCTTTGTTTCCACTTATATTAAAACTATATTATTTTTGGATAATTGAAGCAGTAGGTTGGAAATCGTCACTTATTTTAAAATCCGGCCTTCTCCTAGTTTGTGGCAGTGAGGGAGAAAGGGAAGTTTTGTTGTAATTTTATTTGGGGTTCTTTATATTTAGCAGGTAATTTAGAATTATTTCCAAATAAGTTAGCTGTCTTTTTCTTTGTTAGACAAAGAGATGCTTCCAAGATCTTTATTGTTAAACATAAACCTTGTTATTCCTTCATAAACTGGTTGTGATTATTGTGAGCTGGGACAGGAGAAGGGGAAAGCCTTATATTTGTCATCTAAAAGTTTAATTTGTACTTTTGTTATTGTTCCCACCAGCCCTAGACTGGGCGGGACGTAACACGCCAATAATATTGTTCTTGAAATTAACAGGTGGTACAAACTGAAATGTCATTGGATATTGATGATGTTGTTATAAAACAATTTACCAGCGTGTTGACATTATTAATGAGGAACTTTAATGACAAATTAAATTCATTCTATTGAAAAATATCCATGACAAATTCTAACGGTCTCATGACAATCACATTTATCAAAGATTTATAAAGTCATGTTGTCTTGGTAGGTCAAGGATGTTACAGATTGTGAGGTATTTGTTTATGCCAAGTTTTTATAAAGACATCTCACACATGACATAAAATGACATAACTGAGCAAATGACACTTAAAGGCAATTTATGTTCATAAGCATACATAAAACCTCTTTCGTTTTCAGGATATGTGACATGTAGTGATTATAAAGTCATGTCAGTCTTATGAACACCCCATCAAGTAAAGTGTTGTCTTTTTTCTGGAGAAAAAAAAACAACATATCCAATCGCCGATGCTCGGATCAGATGTCTTTATGTGCAATTCAAATGTTAATCAGATAAATTGCTTTAGCGCACAGAGTTTTTTAAAACTTGTACTTCCATGGAAACACGTATTCAGTCATCTGCATGTTTTTTTTTACAACGATAGATGTCCATTGCAGAAGAATTGTGCACCTTTGTCTTTTTATCGGGATGAAAGGATGAGACATGCATAAAGCACGCAAACAGAAAATTTGGAGTCTTATGTAACGGGGAGAGTGCTTTCTCTGAACCTCTGCCACTTTTGCTCATTACAGTCAGAGAATGGCAGTGCAACAGGCTGCCAGTTTCTAGCACCTGCGTAAAACATGAGGTTTCATAATGAGCAAGTGTCTGATAACTTCAGAATTTATCCTCGAGTTTTTCATGACACATTCACATACAGTCAAGGAGAGAAATTCAAAGCCTGTTGAATCCCCGTGGTCGGTTTCATTAATTGCTCATGCTACAAAAATCCAGAATGATAAAATCACAATGAGCCTTCATCTTAAAACTGAAAGCGCACACAATATTACACATAAATCAAGACATTCAGTAATGCGAAAGTGTTTTTCTCGTCTCTCTCAAGGACAGCTGGAGGAGGGCCATGTCTGCAATGCTGACGAGTTTAAATAACTCAGTTCGTCGAGAAGTGAAGAGGAAAACATGAATGTTTTATGAACATGTCAGAGGTGGGCGCGATGAAACAAAATTGCTATTTAGAATGCAGTGGATACAAAATGAACTGAAGCCTCAGAATATAAACAACTGGGGAACTGAATCAGTAAGCAAGCAATACCCAAACACTGTTTGTTATATGGGGAGATGGAGATATATTTCCTGTATACTGTAGTCCACATTTAAAAATGACAAAACAATATTTAAAAAATATAATATTTTTTATTATACTGTTTGATCGAGTACAGTAAATGCAGCCTTAAACATTAGAGACATTAAAGGGATGGTTCATTCAAAAATAAAAAATGTACATTTCATTTTCTCACTCTCACATCAACTTCTTTCTTCAATGGAACATTAAAAGAACACTTCACTTTTTGTAATTAGGCTAATTTTACAACTCCCTCAAAGTTAAATAGTAATCTTTGCCCTCTTCTGTTCAAAAAATGTATTGCAATTCGTTCAACAATTCTACCGGTTTGAACAGTCACATATTTAAATCGATTATCAACTGACTCACGGTGAATCGTTACATTCCCATTGATCAGTAAGTAGAGGTCTTTGGAAACCTGATATATTCATTTTATTATAAATATTTCATACGTGTATTTTAATACAATGTGGAAGGCTGCATTTACTTGGTCAAACAGTTCAAAATAGCAATTTTTGCTGCTCAAAATGAAAACAAAAAAGAATGAAAAACATTAAACAAACAAAAAATCTTTTTATTTTATTGCAACTACAGCATAATGAACCAGAGATGACTGAATGTTGCAAAGGAGGGAAATTAAAACGAAATTTTAACAGGAGGATGACTGAAAGAGCGGGGCAAGAGAACACGCAGAGAAAAATGAAGGACAAGTTTTAATTTCAGAATCCTCTCTACCTATAAAGAGTATGTGAACGTGTGTTGCTTGCCAGAGCACTATTAGCCTGCGCACAGGTCTGTGAGGCCAGTGGAGTGTAAAGGCCAGAGATGAGGCCAGTCTCACTCTACTCTGCCTTTATGAAGGGATTTGATCTCTGTCCTCTGTTCATCCTTGCTGTTACAAATCCACACAGCATGAATTAATGAATGGAGCTGGGAAGCGGTAGCTGTATTTTGCTTTCAGACACACTGTTTATTATGACAG